GGCCTCGCAGAAACCATTTTAGTAAATCAGAAGAAGCAGTGCTGGCAGGTGGCATCAGTTATGCTCGATTATATGATTAAGCTTCCAAATATTCTTGCTTGGGATAATGTTCTTAATGTCATGTCTTCTGCAATGAAACACCTCTGCTCTCATGCACCCAGGATATCTTGGAGGCTTCAGACAGAGATATGGTTATCAATATTGGTTTCTTATGGAATTGAAGGCCTTAAGAACAGTGAGAATTCATTGATTGATCTTTTCTGCACATTGTTGAGTCATGCTGAACCAGAACAGCGCTCTGTTGCATTGCAGCAACTTGGGAGGATTATTATGAGCACAACTAAAGTTGATTCTGAATATACTACTTATAAGCAAAATTCACTCTCATCTGGTTCAACAGTAACATCCCTTTTGGTTACTCATACCTGGGACCGAGTAGCAGCATTGGCTTTCTATGATTCTTCTATGTTATTAAGGAAGCATGCATTGGCTTTGCTTACTGAATACATTCCATTTGTTGATAGAAATCATCTACAGTCCTTTCTTGGATCCAGTAACAGCATCCTTAATGGTGCGGAACAATTTTCTTATGCAATAGAACAGGGGTATTTGACACGAATGTCTTTGCTGTTGCTTTCAAGGGCGTGTCTCTATTCTGCTCCTGAAGATATTGCTTTAATACCTGAATGTGTTTGGAGAAAACTGGAAAATATGCAAACATCAATACCTGGTAAATTTATGCTCCTTAACAATCTGCACTTTCTTTTTTGCATAAACACATGTAAATTATGTTGTACATCCTTTCAAGATCAATAACTACCAATTAACCATGCATCTAACTTTTTTATGTCTTACTAGGATGCTTTGGTGATATGGAGAAAGATCTCTGCCGAGCACTGTGTCAACTAAGAAGTGAATCTGATGCTAAAACTGTAGTGCTCTCTCTCTCTCTCTCTCTCATACCTAAAAGTTATTTTAATATCTTAAAAATCAGTTCTGTGGTTGAGTTGATACCATAGCGCGACAAAGGGAAGTAGCTTCAGTAGAATTTTGTACATGTCTCTAATACTGATTACTGATTGCATACCTGTTCCCTTAGGTCGTAAAAGAACTTCTCACGGAATCTACTGCGAAACCAGTTGAAACTGATTTTAAGGGCATCCGTGAATCGATTCTTCAGGTCATATTCTTCAGGGCACTCTATTGTTGGCTATCTTTCTTCTTTCTTGCTTGATCCTCTGCCTTCAAACATCACTGCTTATAGTTCAAAAACTCAAACTAGGTTGTCAGTGCTGACTGCTGACTGTGCTTGCACAGTTAAACTGTACAACATAAATGACAATACTTGCAAATTAGCTAACTAGTTCTCCTAATTGAGCCAAATGAGCATCTATTTTTAGAATTTGATAATGACAGGATCAGTGCAATTACTTTGCCCAAATGAATAATTCTTGATGACAACTATTATTGTTGTGGATTTTTTTATTCGTCATGCAATCAATAGGCACAACTGGTCCACTGCAGTGTGCTTGTATTATAGTTTCTTTGTTCAAAAGGTTATTATCTCTATACCAGAAGATGCTGTAAATTATATTTCCTGATCTTGTCAGTGCTGGTCTATCTCGATTCATGATTCTCTCTTTTATAGGTGCTGTCCTCTTTGAGTTCTGTTGAATCATACTTTGAGTTCTTCTCAACAAGATCTGATCAGGAATATCAGGTTAGAAATGCAACAAGGGCTTTCCTTTTGGGCCTTTGTTTTGAACACCTTATACTGACACTTGGTTAATCATAACATTAAGGAACTTGAAGAAGCAGAGATCGAATTGGAGATTGTTAAAAATGAGAAAGCACTTCACAGCTTTATTGTACATCCCCAGGACACCATGATTCCGGACATGTCATCATGTAAGACTAACGAATTTTAAGGCATCCTTTCATTAACGATATACTTTTGATGTGTTATGATATTATTCTATTTCCAGACTATAAGGATGGTAATGAGGTTAATAAGCAGCTCCAGCAAATTCAGGAAGATATACGGTCCTTGTAAGCCCTGAACTCCTGATTTGTTTCAACTGAACTATTTTTCTGTCATGGTAATAGACCAGCCCTGCCAAGCCCTTTAGGGGTTTATGGCCTATGGGCAATAATATATGGTCCTGCCCAGTCAGCATGTCATGCGCTCATGCCTGGCTTTTGATCGTTCCTTTTGGGTATGATGAGTCTCAAGTGGTTGGATATTGGTTCAATTGTTCAACGTCTAAAAATGCTGATAAGAGAAGAAACCAGCCTACTAATGAGTAAATAGGCTCAATTTGTCCCATAGAGTATATTTTTGTGAAAATAGAAAGTACATTACTTTCCTATATTATACTTCATTTGGATTTTTTTTTAAAAAAAAAACTATACATGTTGTAGACCACTAAAAAGCTAAAAAAAAATAACACCTGTGATTTTCTCCAGGAGGCACGGATTGTCTGCTAAGGTGAACTAAAGTTCTACTAATACATGTTTGCTTTCTGGAATTTTTTTTTTTTGGAATTGCTCGATAAGCTTCTATATAATACTGCCTTAGCTCTAGTTCCTTGTAAAATTCTTTATTATCTTTGTGAAATGTCCTTTTTTTCACCAATTTGAATTCTAGAAGAATTTCAAATTTAGTGCTAGTCTTATTTATAGACTTATAGTTTGTGTTCTTCTTCAATAGGGAAAGGTCCAAACTCAGGGAGGAAATTATAGCACGCAGACAAAAGAAGCTGCTTATCCGACATACTCGTGAAAAATACTTGGAGGAGACTAGTTCAAGGGAAATGGAACTTTTGCAAGAACTTGACAGGTTTAGAGTTGTTGCCTTTGTCATTTAGCATGTCAGAAACAATATAAATGTTCCTATCCCTATTTCTTTGTTGTGTTATCTGTATAGGGAAAGGGCTCATGAGATGGAACGTGAAATCGAAAGACAGCGACAACTGGATCTTGAGCGCGTTAATTCTAGGGAACTGCAATTTAACCTCGATATGGAAAGAGAAAAACAAACTCAGGTGCCAGAATAGTTTACTCTTATTCACATATTTTTAGACGAACAAGAATCTTTGTATTTCTCTTTGCACTCTGTGCTTAGTATATGACTATGGGCCTATTCAGATTGTAGCAAAAATAAACTTTACCAAATTTTGGCGATGCCAATACTTTGGCAATTTGGCAATATTGCCAAGTTTTGGTAGGATTTCTTATGTATTTACTAGAGCTTGGTAAAAAAAACTAAGTGGATGCACATATTTTGCAGCTTTAAAAAAAAATTGGTATGGTTTGAAATGGCATCAATCTGAACAACCCCTATATGTATATGTGTTCCTATGTTGTGGTGGGTGGGTTCACTTCATATTGATAGCGCATGTTTATTTGATGTTTCGCCACATCCTTTGTGGCTAGTAATTTAGGGTGAAGTATCGTAGGTTTTGACGATACTCAACATTTTGCATGAATTTGATATTTCTTGCCATGTCATATACTGATTGCTTTTGTAGAGAGAGCTTCAACGAGAATTGGATCAAGTTGAGTTGGGGCGGTCATCAAGGCGGGAGTTTTCAGCCAATACTAACAGGTGTGTTATGCTGGTAGGCGGTTGCCTCATTGTCTCACCATAAATAAATTTTCATACTGCTTCTGATGAAACTTCACTTGACCTGTTTGTTACCCTTGCCATGTGTGTGATGTGACGGGTGTTTTTGCAGCCGGTCTAGGGAGAGATACCGTGAAAGGGATGACGGTAGGGGACAGCAGGAAGGAAGGAGCCGAGGTGGAGGGGTTGAGGCCGGTGGGTCTGCGACAAGATCATTTTCAGGCAACCTTCCCACAATACTGCAGCAACCTCGAGAGCGTACTACGAGTGACGAGCGTACTAGCACAGGAGGAAATTATTATGAGGAGAATGCTGAGGGAAGTGGTGACGCCAGCAGCGTCGGAGATCCAGAATCAGCGGCGGCTTTGGAAGCTGGCACGAGGCATGGCCCACGGGGGGGCAGCAAGTCGTCGTCCTCAAGCTCAAGGCAGGTTGTAGTAGAACGCAGGGAGCGTCGAGAAGGGAAATGGGAGAGGAAGCATTCTTGAGCAGGTTGTGGTCAAATTGGCTGCCAGTACGAACGAACTGTATCGATTATCTCCTGGTTGCCCTGTACTGTACTTTTCTCTATTATGTATGTGTACGCAGAGCGGCTAATGAAAATGGCTGTTTCGATCGGTGGCTTCGGTGTTCTTTTTCATCGCTCGTTTTCTTCACGGATATTTGTCGAACTGATAAACGGTGTCTTTTTTTATATAAAACAGAGTTTTTGCTTCATAAAATTATGTTAATCTATTTTTCAAGTTTTGTTTCTAATAATTAATCATGTATTAAATTGTTGCTTCTTTTTACATGCTAGGAGAGAAGGTTCCCACACGCTTAGACTGTAGTGGATGTCATACCTTCATCTTCTCCTTCTGCTTGCATGCATAAAGAGCTATATTGCTGGGAGGACCGTGTAAATCGTAAGTTGTCTAGTATTTCTTTCATCAAAAAATATGAGACATATTTTTCTTTTGTCATCGAGATTAAGGGGAATTAACTCAACTCCTATGAAACAAAACCATATAATTTTATACTGTATGTATATAACCAATAAGTATTAACATGATTTTGTTTTATCCCAATCAACAATTAATTTAGTATATGAAGATCACAAATATAAACTCTCTTAAAAAAAGTATATGTCTAACACTTAAGGGAATACCAATCTTGACAGAAACACTAGGCAGACCAAATCCAAATAGCCATGGCACGCTCATGCCTAGCCTAGTGAACGTGAACGAACTGGATGGTTGTCTACTCCGTGTTATTAACGGTGAAAAGGATAGGAAGAGGGGAAGTAGTCGTAGTCGTAGATGGTTCAGCGTGTGAAAATGGAGCGTCAATACGTCGCGTGGAAAGCATGAGCTGCTTGCTGCTGCAGAGTAGCTGCTGCTATTGCTTGCTGGGTCAAAGTCGTAACTCGGCAACCACTGCGCGTGCCAACAACCCCCACCACCACCACCACCATCTTCTCTTCTCTTCTCTTCTCTTGTTTCTTCCCATCCCATCCTCTTCTCCTCCGCATTTTGCTCTTCATTCATTTGTGCTGTGCTCTCCACGCGCCCTCGCCTCTCTTTCCTCCGATCCTCCGCTTCGTTCGAATCCCACAGGTGAGGTGACCTCTTCTCTCCAGTCTCCTCTCCTTAGTAGGATTAGGATCATTACGAATTTAGGATCGAGAATATAGGATTATGAACCAGTAGTATTAGGATTATGTTTTCTTCGATTCTTTTTCTCCTTCAAATCAATTCCCAATTCGATTTAGGGTTGACGGATACGCGAGCAGGGATAGCCCTCCCGCCCGCAGAAAGATTGGGCTTTCTTGGTTTCCCTGTCGTAATCCCTTCTCTCCAGCCAACGCGGTGAAAATTTTGTTTCGGTGGGGGTGGGGTGGGTGGTTGCCGGGTAGGTGCTGGTGCATCTGCTTTCAGTTTCACCACCACCATGGATTGGCCGCTAAACATATACTGATATACACCTGTTTCCTGTCCCCTACCCCTAGGCTAGACTACTAGGGAGAATTCAAAAAAAAAAAAGAACGCTGGACAACTAGGGAGAATACAATGCAACCAGATTCAATCATACTAAGGCTTGTATTCCCAAACACCACTTAAATCTTACGCTTCTAGCCATCCTTTTAATTCTAGTGTTAGCAATAATCTAGTCTATGACTCTACATGCTCTTGCGGAACAAAATAATATTATAGTCGCCCAAGACACTTTTTTGTCAAGTTTTTTTTTTATAAATGATTTGGCTCATCAGTTAAGCATGGACCTGCCACGGCAGCATCATTTCTTTCTGTTTTAACATGCTATACTAACACTTCTCTCTGCTCACAGGTCAGTTTGTGGTGTTCATATGGATCCCTTTTTCCGCAGAGCTTCCAGTGACCCCTTGTGCTTGGAAGACAACTCCGTCCAACATGGAATTGAAAGATGCCCATTCCTAAGGAACATCAATGAGCCTACAAGTTTTTCATTCTCGTCCGTTAATTTTCCTGTTCCTGTAAGCCCTTTACCTTCCATCCTCATAATCTTATCGCATGTTTCTGAAAAATTGGATGTATTGTGGATGCCATTGCTCAACTATATCATTTGCTGCTTGTAAAGGCAAGAGGAGACAAGGGTCCAATTTTTGAAGATGGACCCAATTTTGACATGGCATTTCGAGTTTTCCATGGCCAAGATGGGGTTGTTCCACTTTCACATGGATCATTTGAGCGATTTGAGAAGCCAATGCCAAAGCCCAATCCTGAATTTAACCCCTTGGCTGCTAAAGCAGCTACCATCAGTCTCTCTGCATTTGGAGGTTTTTTCAGCTTTGGTGATTTCTCAAATAAGCGCAATAAGAAGAATAGTAACCAAAAGAAGCCCAACAACCTTCCCCAGGTAAGTTTTTGGTTCTCTTTGCTCAGGCTCTTCTTTTTTTCAGATTACCTTGCTTGTCTATATCGAAGTGTGATGTGTCAGAATAGTTTGTTTAAAGAAATCATTTGTCAGAATGTTGTGGCATCCTACTGGATGGTTCTTTAGATGAGACCAATTTTAATACGAAAAGGAAAGGGAAATCATTTTGGTAACAGTAAATAAATGCTGGACATGATTTTTATGAACTTCCCCTATCCCTAGATAGGGGGAACACTAAAATGAAGATGGAATGAATGGTTTTACCATATTGGTAGTAAGAGGTGCACTTAATCTGATTCTTTGGTATTTCAGAACGGAGGTCAGCCTAATAACCATGAAGCACTGAGCAATGAGTGGCTGGAAATGGGTCAATGCCCCCTGGCAAAGTCGTACAGGGCATTAAGTGGTGTCGTGCCCCTCGTCGCAAAGATGATGACACCCCCGGCTGGTATGAAACTGAGATGCCCACCTGCAGTAGTTGCCGCCCGTGCAGCACTATCACGCACAGCCTTTGCCAAGGGGCTTCGTCCTCAGCCCCTACCGACGAAAATACTGGTGATGGCGTTGCTTGGTATGGCAGCAAACGTTCCCCTTGGCATCTGGAGGGAGCACACGGAGAAATTCTCAGTGCAGTGGTTTGCCGCAGTCCATGCGGCGGTACCTTTCATAGGCATGCTCAGGAAGTCTGTGCTGATGCCAAAGACAGCCATGGCGCTTACCATAGCTGCCTCAATATTGGGTCAGACAATTGGTTCGAGAGCTGAGCGTATCAGATTGAAGAGGGCAGCAAAGGTTGCTGCTGGTAGCCAGGGTGATGCTAGCACCAGAATGAGCCTGAAAACCGGGAGATACACTGATGATGTCCAGTTCTGGGATCCGCTTGCCCTCAGAGTTGAGAGTACCATAGGAACAGGAACTCCGGTTCTTGTTCCAACTTTCCATTGATGATGTGCCTTGGGTTTGTTTCTTCGGTCGATTATTGTTGTATTCATTGTGTTGTGCCTTAGTCTTTATACTAAATATTACGTTGGATGCTTCTCCCATGAATCTGGGGTCCAAATTTCAGTGTACAATAAATTGCACGTGTACATTTCCGAAAACAAGTGTTACTAGTGCGCTAAGAAATACGCTTAGAGCTGAGAACTAAGATGATGTCCTTGAATTCGACCGATTTGCATCTGCAACTGGCTGATCTTGCAGTCGTTGTACAACTTTTCTTACAAGAGCTATTCGGATGGCGTGAAAACTGAAGGAACTTTGTGCGTGCGTGTGTGTATAGAGTACTAGAGTTTATTTGGTCAATTAAGCACCGGGGCGTAGCTACAGCCTACATGAGCTGCCACGCACTTTGGTCAAATTGCCCAGTACACAAACCACCTCATCAATCCATCCACATTCGCACACCAAACGCATGCAATTTCAACGACAAACACAACCAATAAGTCTAACTGCGTGCTCAACAATCGTAATATGGCACTAGTTGGTTAACATGTGACAGGAAAAATCAACTAGTGCTAGGACTAGGAGCATCGTCTTTGATTGCAAGCAGCCCCCTTGCCGTGCGAAATGCAAACGACAGGCAGGCAGGCTCATTACCTAGTATATCTCATCATCTGGGACATCAGGTGTAAGGAACTTCTGTGGATCCTTGTACAGTTCCTCGTAGTTGTATTTCGGCTTCACCCTCTCCGGGACAGGCTCAAGTGGGATGATACTGTCTCCGTCGATTACACTGTCGATGAGCCCGTAATCAACAGCCTCAAGAGGACCCATATATCTGTCTCTATCAATGTCTTTCTCAACCTGCTCCGGAGTGCGTCCTGTGAAACCTGATATAAGCCGGATGACATTCCTCTTGTTAGTCAATATCTCCTTGGCCTGGACCTCGACATCCAAGGCCTGCCCACTTGCGCCTCCAACGGGCTGATGGATCATTATCCTGGTGTTGGGCATGGCGAATCGCTTGCCCTTTGTGCCACCACCAAGGATTATAGAAGCAGTGGAACCAGCTATGCCCAATCCAATAGTGGAAACATCTGCCCTCACGAGCTGCATTACATCATAGATGGCCATTGTTGCGCTGAGAGAGAAGCAGGAATCAGTCAGAAAACACAAAGATATTTGCATCAACAGATTTACCAGACTGCCAAGAACCCAAGAGCTATTTAACGTAATGACCTGCCTACAGCTACTTGCTCTTGGTTGATGAACTAGTATCTCCTACTTGTATTGCAATACATAATCAATCTTGTACCAGTGCTATTAAGGTACATTGCAAACAAAACAAAGAGAAGGCATTCCTACACTAACTTAATAAACAAAAAAAAAGGCAATATCCTGCAAGGGAAACATAAAATTAAGCATCACTCTGAACAGGACGTGCATCATTTATAAAATGCCAAAAACATCATTACCAACTCCGAACTGCGGCAAGATCTTTTTACAGAAAGGAAGGAAGCAAGGTTTACATTCACATAATATTGCCTCATCAGCCCATCTCTTTCTTTCTTGTGGTGTGTGGGATAGCCTCTATCGGATCAAATAGTGTTGTTGATTTAGAATCTACTCCCTCCGTCCCAAAATATAAGAGATTTTGTGTGCATGTGACACATCCTAAGACTATGAATCTGGACAGTCACGTCCACCAAAAATCCCTTATATTTTAGGACGAGGGGAGCAAATACACTATCAATTCAAAACAAATGGTTGGTTGATCCATAAGATTCATAGCAGGAGCTCTGATATTCATTATAACTGGAACCTGGAAGGACTGTTTATTTACAAAGGGAAAAAAGAAAAGGATATAGTCTGATTGATGTTATTCATCATATAGTAAGTAGCTCAAGACTTGTCTTTTACCCACAATTTGCGTTATCAGAAAATAACTACCCTATAAGTAGCATACTTGTATGATTCCTAATGCGCTTAATTAATTTCGTGCTCCAAGGTTAAAGCAATTCAAAGCAAAAGGAGAAATAAATTTAGGATGCGCGACCTGAGTGATCCCCCAGGGGAGTTGACGAAGAGGCGGATGTCAGAGTTGGGGTCGACGGCGTCGAGGAGGAGGAGCTGGCTGACGACTGCGTCGGCGAGGAAGTCCTCTATCTCGTTGCCGAGGAAGACGATGCGCTCCCGGAGGAGGAGGCCCATGACGTCACCCCCGGCTCCGGCTCCGGGCGAGTCGGACGACTCAGCTCGGACGCCGGCCTCCCACAGAGGAGTAGAGGGGGCGGAAGCCGCGCGAGGGGGGTTGAGACTGGTGAGCCTGAGGGGGCGCGGTGGCGCGACAACGCGCAGGCGTCGCTGCTGCGTGGGGCGGAGAGCGGCCGCCGCCACCGCCACCGCCGCCGCCGCGGAGAGGGAGGCAGTGGCACTCGCACTCGCAGCCGACATCGCTCGCAATTATCTCTATCCTGCCCTCGGCTAACCTACTTCTTGGTTGGGTTGCCCTTGTCTCTTGCCCTTTCTCTTTGTCTCTTGACGGGGGTTTGGGGTGGATTTTCTTATAAATTACTATATATTACATTCGTCCTATAATATAAAAAAAGTTTTATAGTTGAATACGTTTATTAAAAAAAACTAGTAATATATCCATGCTAAACACTACAATATAATTATATTTGTTTTAATAATTCTTAAAATTTTATGTTAGTAAAAATATTTTTATATGGTTTGTGCACGTGAACTTAAAATCAATTTATGCCGTACATCAAATCAAATATATTTCACGTAAATTTGAATTTGTTTCCTTGCACAATATTCACGCTGTTTTTTATTCCTCAACTGTCGATCTTCACCATTAATTTTACCTGTGAATATTTTTGCAAAATAAAACGGAGAACGATTCATATCTCACTTTTATACTCCCTCGGGATTAACCAAAAAAATCCCCTTCCGAGACGTTCCCATGTCCGAAGGGCCTGAGACACGATGCATCGAATTACCCCCTGGTTAATTGGTAAACGAATGTACTAGTGGAAAGAAGGAAAAAAAGGCAGCAGCAGAGTTAGAGGTCGAGGTGAATGGTCTTCCCTCCGTTTGCCTGCCACCTTCGGAGTTTTTTTTTCTTTTGAGAAAAGGAGACAAAAACACCATCGAGTACTCAAGCTGGTAATCAGTTATACTTACTGCTAGTTCAGTAAGAAACACAGTTAGTATCACGCTCATACAGTTCTGTCCACATCCCAGCTTGCCATACGAGAACAAAGGATATATAACAAAACGTAGAGGGTGCCATCAAATTGCATTCTCGCGTCCTACATTAGTCTAGTCAGCTTCTTCCTCTTCCTCCATGTCATTTGCACTTATTAGATGCCCAAGTGAAACTTTGGCTTTTTTCAGTTCCGGTGACCTCAGTGCAGCAGCAATGCCATCGCTTTTCCTCTTCTCGCCAAACCCCGCTTCATCTTCGTCTTTTGTAGCCTCACCCGAGGACTTGTCATCGTCAGGCTTCTCAGCAATCGTTGACACAGAATCATCCTTCTTCTCCGATGGAAGCTCACCTCCCTTCTTCAATGACTGCTCACATTCTTTCAGGAAATCACGAACATCATCCTTCTCTGCAACATGTAGAGCCGTCTGACCCCCTTTTGTCTTTGCGGCGATGTCTGCACCTTTCTTGACTAAATACTTCACAAGCTCCAGGTGGGAGTTCTGCGAAGCAAAGTGCAACGCAGTGAAGCCTTTCCTGTTCTTTGCTTTCACAGAGGCACCAGATGCCAGCAGCTCACGGACAACCTCTACATGGCCTTTCTGAGAGGCAAAATGGATCGCAGCGGTGTCATCCATAGCTGCAGCTCCAACATCAGCTTTGTGCTTGCAAAGGCACTTCACAAGCTCAACATGTCCAGCCCATGCTGCCAAATGGAGTCTAAATGAACAAAGAAACACCACATCAAGGAGATAACCAAAACCGAGAAAATTGATAGAGCTTGAGCAAGCTTATCATATCTCATAATATGATACACTCATAAGGCAGAAGCACAAGTGATAATACTGATGCAGCAGTAATGGATTCTGCTCAAGAAAATCAACATAAACACAAGTGATGCAGTCAGTTGTTTCTAGTTGTTGAAAAAGCAAGTGACAGATGAAACAAAATGGCCTAGTAACCCCCCCTGTAGAGATAGTGGAATAGATGCCTCACACCCAATGTGGGGAGGTGATCTCTCATATATAGCTGAGTTACAATCAATGCTAGTGAGATACACAAGACCAAAGGTCTAGGAGATAAACAGCCTATAGACTAATAAATAATTCTAATACCCCCAAATCAGAAGAAAACTTGAGGAACAACCATGTAGTAGTAGCCTAGTAGGAGGAAAGTATGAAAAGTATGAATGGAGAGATAGACAGCACAACAGCTGTAAATTAACGCAAGCTTAAACTATCTTACACACAGGAGAAAAAATGTTGGACACCAGACCAGGTGAAACAATGTGTGGCCGAGGAGAATTGAACACTGCCTGATGGAGTGGCATGACAACAACCACAGTGCTATGTGCAATTCTTTACATTTGGAGTAAATTGCAGATTGGTCCAGCTTTTATTACCAAAGTGTCACTTTGGGCTACCTCTAATTCAATCTTTTCACTTAAAGCCAACTATTGTTACCAATTCTTTGCAATTTGGGCTAGTGGCCCACCTGTCAATAGGCTTATGAGCTTTTCTGTTTCTCCTTCTTCCTTCTTCCTTCTCTCTTTCGGTTTCTTCTTCTCCAGGTCGAGCAACAACAGAGAGGGAGAGGGATAGGGCGTCGGTGCTCCGGAGGAAGGGGAATGATGGCGTTGGCGGCGGAGTGTGTTCCCGAGTAACGCGCAACCGAGGAGGGTGGTGGAAAGCAAAGGGAGTGAGGGAGATGGCCGGAACGGCGCAGGAAATAGCTCAGCTCCGGCCGGCATGGATGGTGGCGGTGGCTAAAGGGGAGGGGAAATAGGAAAAATAGGTTCACCTCGGCGAGGCAAGCCCGATGGCGCAAAAATTTGGCCAGCGGAGCTCCGGTGAGGGAGATCTGCCGGTGGCCGGTGGTGGTTTGGCATGACAGGAGAGAGAGAGAGAGAGAGAGAGAGAGAGAGAGAGAGAGAGCTCGATGTGTGGTGAAGGCACCGCCGCACGGAGCTGAAGCCGTCGTCACCGCTGCTTTGCCAATCTAGGGGCGCCATCGCCATGCCACGTGCTCCTCCTCCACCGCCCAACTCCGCCCTCTGCTGCCGCCATGACCGGCCAATCACGTCCAAGAGCTGGCGCATCGAGCTCTCTCTCTCTCTCTCTCTTTTCTCTCGTAAGCCCGCTGATAGGTGGGCCACTAGCCCAAATTGCAAAGGATTGGTAACAATAGCTGGCTTTAAGTGAAAAGATTGAGTTAGAGGTAGCCCAAAGTGATAATTTGGTAATAAAAGCTGGATCAATATGCAATTTACTCTTACATTTGAGACAAAGATAGTTTTAACTGTGTAGTGGGGCTGCTTTTAGGAAGTTTAAGCTATGGCAAGGAAAAACAAATTCCACAAAAATGAACCTGATATTAGTCTAACATAAATCATGGGGATACATTACAGCAGGCCTTGCAAGTTGCAACGGCAGTTGATGGGCTGCCAAATAAAAAGTACTAGTACTAGTATACTGGCGATAAGTTGTAAGGATCAAGCGCATGATGAATCAGCAGAGTAGATACACAGAGTATGATGAATCAGCAGAGCAGATAGACGGAGTTATGAATTATTCGCAGCAACAACAGCAAGTAATAATACACAGAGTGGTGTATAGCTTCCATCCCAAAGACCTAGGTTTCGCTAAAATTAACTCAGGCGACAGAGGGGAAAATAAGTACTCCGTGCGCTAGGTCGGAGGAAGGGAAGGGAAGGGAAGGGAATCTTCTTCTTACGGGGTGCGAGAGAGGCGATCTCTGGAATTGAGGGCGAGAGGGTTGGCCTCGCACAGAGACTCCGCCGCCGCCAAATCTCCCGACCGCGCGGCCTTGTGCAGATGCAAGTCATCCTCCTCGCCTCCTCCGCGGCCTCGGCCTCCACGGCCACGACCGCCGCCGCCGCCGCCGCCGCCGCCGTGACGCCTCCCCATCTCTACGCTGCAGCCGCTCCGGATCAGAGAGGAAGAAGGATGGGAATTGGATCGAACAAATGATGGGCTGCTGCTCTGCCTCAATTGCTGCCCAGGCTGGCGGCCCATTAAGACAGGGAATCTTAACCTTTATCCTTATCTATATATCTCGTGTCTATCTCTATCTTTAATATTATAAAAATTAGAAATATTTTTGTCAAAATTTTAATATGCCATCCGTCTTTGAATTGAATTTTAATTTTATCATCAGACTCTTATATATCCTCCCATATCCGGCCTTCATCACCACGTAGTGGGCACTGTGAGTCCAACTTTATCGTTGCAACCATGTATATAACATCTCCTCCATCTTTAAAAACCGGTGCAAATCGCCTTCTTTAATGGATTGGAAAGCGGTTTATACTGATATGACAGGTTGACTTGGTCCAAACATACTGATGTGACAGCCCAGTCATCAAAAGGGTTAAAAATAGAAGTGGGTCCCTAATCTAAGTGGCAAAGGATAAAATAAAAAAATATGGGCCCACTTGTTAGTCCCACTTTTCCTATTCTTCTTCCTCTCTTCTATCTCTCTCTCTCTTTCTCAGCCGCCGCCGCAAATGCTGCACACACGCCAAGAATGAATCGGCTGCGCACGGCAGCTGTGCTGAGGCCGGCGCGGACATCCCATATGTGAAGGGTGCAGCCATGGACGGCAGCGAGCCATGGTGTTAGTGCTTGCCCTTTTTCAGTTGCCTATGTGCAGGTCTGCACGAGAGGCCCAACAGAGTCGCCAGCGGCGAGAAGGAGGAGTGGGCCGTGGCGTATGTGCGGTTGTCGTTGTCGTCGGACGCCATCTCCTACTCCTCCAGCATCTCCACGGACATGCCGCTCTATGAGCCCCCCGAGGTAAACCACATCCTTCTCGATCTCTGCACTGCCATGGGTTGATGCGACGAGATGACCGGAATTCATGCGCGTCGCTCGTGCGCGTGTGTGTGCAGGTGTCGTTCGACGAGTACCTCCTCGACTGCGCGCGCATGTTCCACGCCATGTTCCCCGACGAGAGCAGGAGCCAGCGCCCCAGCGACGTAAGCAAACCAAAAACCAAAACCACTCCCGAAGTCCTGTTCGCTCTGCTCCGGCAACGACGCTAAAGCTTAGCTGATCCTGTGTATGCGTGCAGGAGGAGTGGAGAGTCTAGATGCTGTCGCTGCATGTGTTTGTTTGTTTGTCTATTTGGGCACGTAGACGAAGTGGGAGCTACGTGGGCTGGAGCGCGGCTACGCATCGGCGAGCTTCGACCTTGGCATCCGCGGGTCGCTCTACACCGATAGAAGAGTGCGCGACTAAGACTGATGGGAGAAAAGAGTGCGCGGCCGGCCGGTGACCCTTTCCCCCGCACGCGTCACGACCTGCGACCCCTCCTAGGCGCGTCGGTTGGCCACTCCGCCCCCACGTGCTGCTGTAAGGTGAGAGAAGAGGTAGAGGAAAGAGAGAGGTGGAGAGGTAAGGAAGAATATAGATGGAGGAGGTTGCTGACAGGTGGGAGGTGGGGCACACAAGCTGATTCAGTCAACGGGGTCAAAACTGCCACGTCGACGAAACCACCTTTCTAACCGCTGAAAGAGGCGATTTGCACTGGTTTTTAAAGATGGGGGAGTCGCTATACCCGGTTTTATGATTGAGGGAAGTTATTTAACTAGAGCAAGAGTTGAGGGAAGCAGTATGGACTTATTCTACTTAGAAAAGAGCCACATATAGCCCCCAGCCCAACTAACTAATCCCTAGCTCGGTAGCTCCCGACCCCGGCGGCCGCCGGCGCTCCTGTCTCCGGCAGGTAGCAGGCCGCAGGTGGAAGCGCGCGGCGCTGGCGGCGGTGAGCAGGCAAGCAGCGGAGTACGGGACGGCGTGTCCGCGCGACTTCGCGAGCGCGAGCAGCAGCAGCAGCAGGCCAGCAGTCAGCAGAGGCCAGCGCGAGCAGGAGGGAGCTGAGCAGGTTGCAGACAGGCGGCCCGCGGCCGGCCGCCGGCGCCAGCGACGCCACGGGAGGTCGGGTGCGTGCATACTGCCTGCAGTCTGCAGCAGACCAGCAGCAGGCCGGCGGCTGCAACCTGCCAATCTGCAAAACAACTAAACAAGGTATGCTTATCACTTATCAGTTTATGCAAATATGCAATTGTGATTACCTAAGTGGAAATTTGGAATGGCTCAATCCATTAGCAATTTAGCACAGTTTCATCTTGTGAAGTTGTGATGTATTTCTCATTATTTCTCTATTTCTATATGAAACTTCTTTAGAATACAACATAATACTATGGTATTATAATATTGTATGAGACATGATGTGTTTATGCCGACGTTTCCCTCAATTTTTCATTCCTGGATTCACCCCTGCTTTTCAAGATGCATTCATTTGGCCATTTAGGCCCAGATAGTCTAAGTTAAATCAACAGAACATGGCTCAGATCAGTTACAGGCCAAGTTTTCACTACCCAATAAACAAGGCCAGTTTAACTTACATAGCCATTTTACTACAGATCTTCATAGCATACTATGTCACATACAATAAAATTACTAAATTCTTGGACTTCCTCATCAGTTTCCCATTTTTAAGTTTTAACAATGCAAAAGTGCCTTACTGTCATGCGGTGAGTCTCCTTGATTCAATATACGCATCACATACTTGATAGGTGTATACTGGCAGCAAAACTTTTAGCTATTTACTCCAAGAGCTGATGATAAACCAACAATGGTCATGGAATTTTAGCTCTCTTCTTCAGATTCTTCCACTTATCCTACTCCAACCACAGCACGTAGATCGATGCGGTGGCACTACCTTCTATGTGTGTTAGGCTCCCATCTTTTTGCCAAATATGGAAAATACGTCATATGGCGTATTAGCAAAATAATAATAATTTGTAGGTAAAACATATATATATATATATATATATATATATATATATATATATATATATATATATATATATATATATATATATATGTTCTTAGCGACTTAAACGACAATCTTCGACGAAAAAAAACTTCAAAACCAAGTTTTAAAATTTAAATTTTGGCATCGGTTGATGCTGAATAGAGTAAACGATGGGCGCGAGGGAGAGATGGCTGCGCCGCCGCCGTGCACGGATGGGAGGCGGCCATGGTGTGATTCGAACCGGATTCTAGCAGGAGGAAGACGAAATGGGCCGATACGAAATTTCGGCAATAATAAAAGGGGGTGGCTATCAAGCTAGGAAAGTGGATGGGTTTGGAGACAAGGAATTTTATACAGGTTCATGCCTTCTTATTCAAGAAGTAATACCCTACTCCTGTCCGGGGATGATTCCGCCGAGTGTGTTATTGATTGTATGATTGGGAGAAAAAGAATCGTCCCGAGAGGAACCCGGACCCCTCCTTATATAGGGGAAGGGGTCCGTATTACAAAGTACAGTCCATATCCTAACGGAATATGGGATTACAGATAAAATACAATCGTAACCGACTAGGATCCCGGGTATTTTCTTGACATACAAGTTTAGAATCTAACCCAAGTCCTCATAAAGATATTCTATCTATATTTGGTACCATATATCCAACTGGAATATAACCTCCATGTAGATATGGGGTAACCATAATCTCCACAGTGGCCCCCGAGACCTTCGCAGTTGACCAAAATAATCTCCAAAAAACAATAATCCAAGTGCTTCAATTCAACTTGCTCCGGCTTGCCGAGTGCTAAAAGACTGTGAAGGGCGAAAATAAAACATGGTGCATCGAGTAGATGCACCTAATTAGGTGTAGCCCTCGACTATGTGATTAGTTGAAAAACTAAACATATAGTCAAGAACCGAGTGATTTTATATCGAAGCATGCATGGTACTCAATAAAATACCCAGCCGACTGCTTCTCACTTGAATATATCAAGGATAAAAAATATGAAAAGGGCCGAATGATAAACACTCAAAAGGTCTAAAAATAGATATATTTGGTAGGAATCCGAGTAAGAAACTCTTAAAATGATCCTAGGCCATAACCCTTACCATAATCAAAATAAGCATATAACATGCTAGGAGAATGACTACTAATAAACCAGTCATCTCAAATTAACCCAACAGCTTTTGCAGCCTAAAAAAGCTTACAAAAATGGTATAACACCTCTCTGTCGGGCACCTTTTCATGTGCATCATAATAATTCCAAAGAATTATTAAATCGCGTTAAAAAGAATTTTAACAGCATCGGGCCGCATCATTGTGAGCACATATTGCCAAAGCAAAAAGCGCCTAAGTCCCTAGGGATCACAACGGGCCACGCTGAAAACATAATTGGGCTGAAGTACTGTACAGGCCCAGGCCCATTAGTACTCCCGATACCCTAAAAATACCGAAGTCCAAACGTCGTTTCGTCTTCCCCGCCGAGACTCTCGCCATTCCCCACTCCATGCTACAGTACAGAACCGCGCCGACGAAGCTAGGGTTCATCAATCTGCTCCAACCCACCCTCAAAAACTTCACAAAATTTCTCCCCGCGTCCACCGCTCCGATTCCCCATTCCTCTCCAGCCATATCTCGGACCAAATTTAACCATCCAGTTCACATTCATGGCGGAAGAAAGAGAAAGCTTCGAGAGTCAGTGGGCGCCCTCCGATGTGACAGAAGATAATCTGAAGGAGATGGTGGCGCACGGCGTTCTCCCAGCGAAGGAGATTATCGGGTGGCGACCGGCGTCCGGCGAAGCATTCCCGACCCCGGACACACACGAAATCATGGTATTTGCTCATTTCTTCTATGGCGGATTTTCTCTTCCAACCTTAAGATTCTTCCGGGGGATTCTGAACTTCTACAGGATTAGCTTGCATCACTTGAATCCAAACTCCATAGTGCATATTGCCAATTTCATCCATGCCTGCGAAGCTTTTCTGGGCATTAGGCCTCATTTCGCCTTGTTCCGCCGCATCTTCTTCCTCAAGCCCCAGCCAAACAAAAGCAAACCATGCGTCGTTGCGGGAGCTGGTTTCCAACTCAGAGGAACCTTGAGCCAAAAATATTTCTCCATGCCCTTCAAAACCTCAAACAAAGGCTGGCATGCAAACTGGTTCTATGTTCAGAATCCTGAGCCCGCAGTCCCCGAGTACTGCTGTCTTCCTCCGGTTTACCAGGATACATGGAACTCATTGCCTATGGGAGATGAAGCTGCTCAAGCAGTAGAACTGATGGAGAGGATGATAAAGCTGAAAGAATAGGGCCTTCAAGGAGAACAGATCACCCGGCACTTTACCAAGTGTCGGTTAGCTCCAATCAAAGAAAGATCTCGCACAGCCTTCGAATTTGACGGCAAGCATGACCCAAACCGTGAAGATCCGGATTCTCTTGACTTCAAGGTCATGAAGGAAAGGATGTATAAGATCTTCTCAAACGCCATCGTTGTCAGCTACTCACACTTGCTGCCAGTCGTACCGTTCAATGCATTCAATCCTCCTCCACCGGTGCGTATTCATATACTTCAACCTTTCTCAAAATATGATCTTGTTTTCTTGTTGAATCATTTAACAATGAAGGATATTACACCCAGGAATTTGCTTTGATGAAGTCGGATCCCCCAATCGCTCAACGCCGATCTCCCCGCCACCAAACTGGGCAAGGGAGCGGAAGACCAAGAATTCGGTATGAAACTCAACCAAGTGCTTCTGATCCAGTCGGCCAGTCAGATTCTCGAAAGAGGAAGCTGGTTCTAAGTGACGACGAAGCCGATGATACCACCAGGAGGCCTGTAGACCGAGAGACGACCAAGAAACTACCAAAACAGGCTACTCCAAGGAAGAAAACATCCAGTCGTCCTGTGCCAAAGATCAGGAAGTCTTCTAGGTGCAACTCATATAACGATCTCTCTTGTATTGATGCGCACCCATTGCGGCAATAATACTGATAATCAAATTTGCAGGAAACCATCTGATATAGACCCGTCTGGGAAAGACTCTGACCCAACTAACATGGACACAAGTTTTTCCAAAGAAACCGGGCCAACAGCAGAGAATCGTCCGAGTGACAAACAACCGGCAACCGATAATGTAGAACCCAGCAACGAGCCCCCGACTGGGAACCAGTCGACTGAAGCTGAAGTCGGTGCTAACCAGGAGCCCCCGACTGGAAACCAGTCGGATGCAGGGCCAAGCCAAAAGATTCCCGAGGTTGAAGCTCAAACGAACAGTCCTCTCGGGAAGGATGCTGACAATGAATCAGAAACCAGGTCTCCTGTGAAGACACCAAAGTCTACTCGTCCCCGACCGGGAATCATCACAGGTAGACACGCTATCTGAAATCGTTTTGATCCAACAGACTTTATTTGGCTGCTTCATCTTCATTCATGGATACACTAGGGCCAATAATTGGTGATGAAGAAGAAATCCTCCGGATACAAGCAGCTGAGGATTCACTCCCTCCGATTCTGGTCAAGTGGTGGGATGACAACATGCAGCCTCAAGGGATCGTGATAAATAAGCAAAAAGAGGACGAGGAGCTATGTCTACTGAAGAAGGCACTAGGTCAGGCAACCCGCATTGTAAATGTAAGCCCTCTGGTACCTGATCTCAACCATCTTGTTTGCCATTTAATTCATGCGCTAATTAAACTGTTTTGTAGAGGATTTGTAACACCCTGAAAATTCTCCCAACGAAATCAAAACACCAAAAATACAGATTTTCAAAAACTTTTTAAGTAATAAATTGCATCATGCCGATTTTATTCGCCTATTTCATTGGATTTTGATCTCGGAATTTATTAATCGCGAATAATGAATAACTAACTAGGAATAAACCTTAAAAATCAAGCTGGCTAAATAAATAATTAAAATATAAATTAAAATAAAGATTAGGTGGGATTGGAAATAAATAAAATATTATCGCGACCATATTAGCAATAATTAAATTTTAGTACGATGGAATGAGAATTAACCCTAATTAAAAATTCAAATAAATTATATAAACAAAATATGAGTGATATTAAATTAGGGTGAATTTTTAGTTAGTATAAAACAAATATGGAGTAAACTTCATTTATGCAAAAGTTAGAATTTATAGGACTATATTTAAATAGAAAATGGGCTAAAATCGGGATAAATAGGAAAAGTTACTGTTCATTGCGTCATAGGTGTTCGATCGTGGTCCCCCTGGCCCCGCCCCCTTCCCTGCCGCGTGCGCCGCGTCGCCCGCCCGTCGCGCGCGCCGCCGCCGCTGCCGCGCCGTCACCGTCGCGTCGCCGTCGGCCTCGCGCCTTGTGCCGCCGCGCGCCCGTCCCCTCGCGCCTGCGCCCCGCCGCGCGGCCGTCCCCTCGCCGTCACCCTGCGCCGCTGCCGCGCCGCCCATTCCATCGCGCCGAGCCCTATGCCGCCGCGCGCGTCGCGTCGCCCCGCCTGTCACGCCGCTCGCTCGCCACCTGCCGCGTCGCCGTCCCATCGCCGCGCGCCGTCACCATCGCCGCGTCGAGCCCCACGCCACCCGTCGCGTCGCCCTTCTCGAGCCCCGCACCGTCGCCCGTCGCATCGCTGCTCCGAGCCCCGCGCCGCCATCGCGTCGCCGCCCTCGCGTCGCCGTCGTCCCGCCCTGAGCGCCGCCGTCGCGTCGCCATTACGCCGCCGTCCCTCCCCCTCTCCTTCTCCCCTCTCTACAAAAACCCCCCCTCTCTCCATTTTCCCCCACCCCATCTCACCCTTCCTCCCCTCTTCCCTCTCCACTGGCCGCCGCTCTCGTGCCGCCGCGCCGCCGCTCCCGTGCCCGTGGCCGCCGCTCCCGTGCCGCCGCGCGCCGTTCCCGTGCCGCCGTGCGCCACCGTCCGTGCCGCCGTCGTCGCCGCCGTGCCGCCGGTGAGCCGCCCTCCTTCCCCCTCGTGTCCACCGCCGCCGCCGCTCGGGTGGGTGAGAGCCGAGAGAGAGAGGGAGAGGAAAACAGAGGCCGGCAGAGAGAAAGAGAGAAAGAGAGAAAAGAAAGAAAAAGAGAGAGAGAGAAAAGAAGGAAAAAGAAAGAAAAAGAGAAGAGAGAATGGAGAAAAAGAAAAGGAAAAATAAATAGAAAATTAGGAAGAAATTAAGGAGGTTAATAGTTTAAGAAAATCTAAAATAATTAGAATTTAATTATAGATTAATTATGGTCATAGAATTGCAAAATTTAATATAAATTATAGATTATTCTTGGTAATTTCTACAAGAAATCAATTCGCGGTACTAGTTTAAATGTAATTAAGAACTAAACGATTAGATGAATTCTTATAGACTATTATAGATTATTTTGGGTAATCTCTATAAGTAATTGATTCATGGTAGAAATTCGGACTTAATCACTAGGAATTTTAGACGTATATTATATTTAGTCGTTTAGTCCTAGACTAAAATTAAATCGTATAATATTATAAGATAATTTTTGGATTCCGTCCGATATTTAGCTTGCAATAGAAATTTCCAACCTATTATATGGATATAACGCTCGGGTAGATTAAATTAAAAACTTATGATAACAAAATATTTATACCCACAAAATAGTTTAGGATATATAAATCGAAATTGGGTTTGCCCTAGTACGCGAATAGTAAAGTTAATATAAAAGAATCGACTTTCGTGTTTGACTTCCATTTGGATTTATTTGGATTTTTATTTTGAATTCTAATCGAATCCAAATCAATTTTCGCACGTAACTATAGAGCCCGAGGGAGTTGCGGATCCAAGTGAAGGCCAAGACCCCCAAGACCTTGAGCAAGGCAAGTCATCACTATTCCTTGAACATGTTGATCCCAATTGAGAAATTATTTTGTTTATAAATAAAATTGCATGCAATGATGAATATCCTACTTGTGATTATGCCATGCCTTGATTATTGTTTATCCCTTATTCCTTCGTAACCATGTTTACGTATGAGTCCCTAGTCAATTATGACAATTGCTTAGAAATGCTATTCTAGGATCATGCATACTCATATTTATCAAATGCTAAATGCTTGGGCAATTACCTTTGGGAAGGTAATTGAGATGCGGCATGTGGAGACATGAGCGCCACATTGCCATGAAATTGATAACATGATTTGTGAAAGGAAAATAAAGCGAAAACAACTGTTTTCGACTGGGGCGGACGGATGATTTGGGTGGTATCTGGAAAAGGCTAGTAGCGTCCCCAGTCAATTAAGGACCGAGCCATGAAGTTAAGCTTGAAACGACCCCCGTACAACCGTACTTCTCAAATGGGTATAGACCTAGCGGATTAGATAGCCGAGCGGAGGCAGTATCCCTGCATAGATGGTTCACCCCTGAGTGAGGCAGGTGCGCTACGATGGGACAGCCGTTGAGGTAGGGCCGAGAAGCGTGCCCTACATCGGTGTCGCCATTGGTAGGACTGCCATGAGTATGTGAGAGAGAGAACTTAACTTGAACCATAATTTAATATGTGTGTGAGACTTCTCTTTCCCGGGAGCGCCAGAACTCCTCTCACTGCTAGAAACATGGACGCCTAGAGTGCATGAGGATTTAAGTTCATGGAGCGGGTACTGCCAATGCGAGGTTATCGAAAAGCTTTGCCGTGACGCGTCTCATGTGTTGGGACGAGGCTCATGTGTTGGGCAGTCGCGGAGTGCGGGTAAAGTGTACATCCACTGCAGTGTGAGTAAACCAAATCTATTCGAATAGCCGTGCTCGCGGTTATTGAGCACCGGGACATGTATTACACTTGGCTAGACTCTAAATTCTTAACCTGTGTGGGATGGGATATTGCATGATGATTTTTATGCTGATGGAGCCACTTCCTGAGAGGAGGGAAGGTGGACGTCCTCAGAAAACCATGACGACTCAATGGCGGGAAGCTATCCTTGGGATCACAATGGATGGTGGACAGAACCGTCGTTGTTTAATGTGAACACTGGTATTAAAACTTGATCAGTCTATGCTAGGTCTTAGGTTTGTGAAAAGAATTACAAAACTGGCTTAGCGCAAAAGAGCCATAGCCATCCTTTGAAATACCCCTTTTCATCTGCATTGTTGCTGTGGTGGCTTGCTGAGTACGGTTGGTACTCACCCTTGCAAATATAAAATTAATCAGAAGCGGGAGATGAAGCTTCGGAGGATCCCTATGCCTACTACCAGGAGGGAGATGAAGACGATGACGCTCAGTAGGTCTTAGTACGGTCGTTGCCTGTGGCAATGGCATGCCGCTGCCTTATCTATTTCTGTTTTTGGATGTATTCCGGACCGCTCGGTCCGATTATTTAAGACAATGCCTGCGGGCTTATGATGTAATAATTAGCACTAGACTCTCGTGTATGTGCTTTTGGTATTTCAGCTATGAACTCGTGTGTACCAGACTACTTGATCCAGGGAAATGGTACTGTTTACACGAATGATTCCTGTTATAAAAACGGGGGTCCACAGGATTCATCTTAGGAACGAAGCCAAAACGACAACCTTAGAGAGGTTAGTCCCTCATCTCGGAACCCTCGAAACCACCAGGAATCAACTGCACGAAGCGAAAGAACTTGCCAGGAAGAATGAACATGATCTGAGGGATCGGATCGCTGAGCTCAAGGAATCAAATTTTGAACTGAGTGGCTCATCAAAAGGTACGCACAAACTCTGCTCAACTGACTCATACTGTTATCTTTGCAATCTTGATTAACCGTAATCAATGAAGTGCAAGCTGCCAAGATATCTCAGTTGGAGAAGCAGATTCAAATTCTGGAAAATGACAAGGCAGAACTGGCAAGACAAAGAGACCTGGCTTTAAAGGAAGTTGAAGGTATCAACAATCAATACCTCAAAAGCCATTATCCTCCATATGTTGACTTATTAATGTGAATCTGTTGATGCAGACCGCAAGATCAAATCTCAAGCTCAATTCGACGTCCTTGTTGGCAAGATCAAAAAACTTGAAGGAGCCCGGGATGAGGTTGCTAACGCTGCTGCCCCAATTGTTCAAGCAATGTTCTTTAATAACAACGGCCCGAGTGCACTTGATGCTTCTGAAATTTTCGATAAGCTGAGAGTTGCTCCGGATACATATTTCAAGAACATCAAATAAGCTGGAAGTATGGGAGCAAGTCTGGCGTTGGCGATGACCAAATCTCTTTATCCAAGGGTTGATATAGATGCCATTGATGGCTTTGCAGACGGGACGAGCGAAGAAGCTGCTCTTGACCTCATCAGCGATGCGCAAAAAGCCGCTGACAAGATTGCTGCTGATGTAGTTGAGAGATTCCAGGACACCGATCTTCGACCGACTGGTCCTGATAATTCTGATGATGAAAAGACTGACTGACTAATGTACCAATGATTTTGATGATTAATGATGATGGAGGCACAATTTGTACAATACTGATGAATTTATGCGGTGCTTGATATCTTAACTTAGTTCCTGATTTCTTAAAAGTTTTTGTCAAACCTTGTTGAGCCTAAAACCTGCAAAAGTTGTTAAAAAACTTTCAGTCCTCATTGACTAAGCCAAGAAATCAAACAAGGCAATGATACATCAAGTAAACAAATTGAATTGATAAAAATCACACTCCATTATTATTATAGTAGCCCCCTGACTGAAAACTTCAAAGAAAAACTTAAAGTTAGCAGTCAAAGAGGAAAGATACAAACGAAATGCCTAAGCGTAAAATCGGCGAAGGTGTTCAATATTCCAAGAATTGTTGATGAGAGTACCGTCTTCGCGCTTGAGTCGGTAAGAACCCGGCCGAGTGACTTCAGCAATTATGAACGGTCCTTCCCATAAGGGAGATAATTTATGCCGATCCTGTGTTGTTTGAATTTTCCTCAGAACCAGGTCACCGACTAAAAAGGCTTGTGATCGAACATTCCGATTATGATAACGGCACAACCCTTGCAAATATCGAGTCGACTGAATTAGAGCTGCTTCTCGGGATTCTTCTAGTCGGTTGATGTCGTCTACTCGGCCCTCTTCATAGCCCTCCTCGTTGAAGTTCCGAAATAGTAGTGATTCAAATTCCACTTCACTCGGCAACATTGCTTCTGCGCCGTAAACCAAAAAGAACGGCGACTGGCCGGTAGCCCGACTAGGAGTAGTGCGTAAAGTCAAAGTACGGACGGCAGCTGATCTACCCACTTACCAGCATAGGGACGTAGTCGGTCAAAAACGCGTGCTTTGATCCCTTGAAGTATCATGCCGTTAGCGCGCTCGACTTGTCCGTTACTCATAGGGTGTGCCACGGAGGCGTAACAAATGCCGAAGTCTTCACAAAAGTCTTTAAATGCTCCGCCAGTGAATTGAGTGCCATTATCAGTGATGATCCGATTAGGTACCCCAAACCGATGCACAATGTTGATGAAAAAATCTCTAGCTTTATCTGCTGTGATCGTGATGACCGGTTTAGCCTCAATCCACTTGGAGAATTTGTCGATAGCCACAAAGAGATGCGTGTAACCGCCGACTGCCCTTTTAAACGGGCCGACCATGTCAAGCCCCCAGACCGCAAATGGCCAGGACAACGGGATGGTTTGCAACTCTTGGGCTGGCAAATGAGTTTGTCTGGCAAAAAATTGACAACCTTCGCATGTCCGCTCAATCTTGTCCGCTTCGGACACAGTTGTAGGCCAGAAAAAACCTTGCCAGTAAGCTTTGCCGACAATAGTCCGTGCAGCAGCATGATTACCACAAATACCAGAATGTATATCCTTCAGCAATTGTCTCCCTTCCTCCAAAGATACACAGCGCTGCAGTATTCCTGACGGACTTTTCTTATACAGTTCAGCTTCATGAATAATGTAAAGTCTGCTGCGTCTGGAAATCCGCTCGGCTTCATTTTTGTCTTGAGGGAGTTCTTGTTTGCTCAAAAATTTTATAAACGGTTCTCTCCAGTCAGCTTCAATCATGCTTACGCCTTGAGCATCCATGGCTTCGACTGTCTCTTTTCTAGGCACGGTCGGTTCATAAAGATGTTCGACGAACACAACTGAAGGAGCTGCTTCCCGTTTTGAACCAAAATTGGCCAGTCTATCGGCTGCCTCATTGTTATGTCGAAGGACATGGGTGAGCTCGAGTCCATCGAATTTATCTTCCAGCTTGCGTACCTCTTGTCGGTAAGCGGTCATATTATCATCTAGACATGACCACTCTTTCATGACTTGATTAACAACCAACTGAGAATCTCCACGGACGATTAATCGGCGAATGCCTAAAGAGATTGCAATCCTTAATCCATGGAGTAGCGCCTCGTATTCCGCCACGTTATGGGACGCAGAAAAATGTTTCCACAATACATAGCTCAATCTTTCTCCAGTCGGGGAAATCAAGACGACCCCAGCTCCAGTGCCTGTGAGCCTCTTCGACCCATCAAAATGCATAGTCCAATACTCCATCTTTTCCTCTGGCATGTCTTCTTGGCACTCGGTCCACTCGGCAAGGAAATCAGCTAAAGCTTGTGATTTGATCGAAGTTCGTGGCTTGAACGATATATCCAAAGACATCAACTCTAAGGCCCAATTCGCAATCCGTCCATTTGCTTCGCGATTGTGAAGTATATCTCCGAGTGGAAACGATGTGTCCACCGTGACCGAGTTACTTTGAAAGTAGTGAGATAATTTCCTGACGGTAATTAAGACACCATATAATAACTTTTGAACCTGAGGATATCTTGTCTTGGAGTCGGCTAAAACTTCGCTAACGAAATAAATTGGACGTTGGACTTTTTTAATATGGCCTTCCTCTTCATGCTCGACAACCAGGACCGTACTCACAACTTGGGAGGTTGCCGACACATTTAACAGTAGCGGCTCTTGTGGATGTGGCGAGGCCAAAACTGGTGGAGTGGTGAGAAGTTTCTTGAAGTCTTCAAAGGCTTTCTGTGCTTCGGGTCCCCACTAGAAATTGTCAGTCTTCTTCAGCAACTTGAAGAAGGGCATCCCCCGCTCGCCGAGTCGTGAGACGAACCGGCTGAGTGCCGCCATGCAACCAGTCAGCTTTTGGACGTCTTTTTGGGAGCTTGGCGGTTTCATGTTGAGGATGGCGTTGATTTTCTTCGGGTTGGGCTGTATGCCTCTTTGAGATACCATAAATCCGAGCAACTTCCCTGACGGTACTCCGAAGATGCACTTTTCCGGGTTTAGTTTCATCTTGAAAGCACGAATGCTTGTAAAAGTTTCTTCTAAATCCGCAATCAGGTCATCCTTCTGCTTGGTCTTGACGACTATATCATCAACATAAGCTTCGACATTGCGACCGATCTGAATTGAAAAACATCTTTGAATCATGCGCTGATAGGTTGCTCCTGCGTTCTTCAATCCAAAGGGCATTGTGATGTAGCAGTAGGCCCCAAAGGGCGTAATAAACGAGGTCTTCAAGCAGTCGGATTCTTTTAGTCGGATCTGATGATATCCCGAGTAACAGTCCAAGAAGCTGAGTAACTCGCAGCCGGCCGTTGAGTCAACCACCTGGTCAATGCGAGGTAACCCAAAAGGGTCTTTGGGACAAGATTTGTTGAGGTCGGTATAATCGACACACATGCGCCATTGCCCCGTCTTTTTCCGAACCAGAACTGGGTTAGCCAGCCAGTCGGGATGAAGGACTTCCTTAATAAAGCCTGCTGCTAACAGCTTGGTTAATTCCTCCTTGATCGCATCCTTTCTGTCCTGTGCAAAACGGCGGAGTCGTTGCTTGATGGGTTTGGCGTCTTCCTTAACATGTAAAGAGTGCTCAATCACCTCTCTGGGGATACCAGGCATATCGGATGGTTTCCACACAAAAATATCTTTATTATCCTCAACATGATCCGAGAGGTCGAACTTAATTGCTATCTCTGACCACCGAAGATATTGGGGCGTGTTAGGCTGAACCGCATTGATCTCCCGTTCTGTTAGCTTCTGTTTTCTCTTAGACTCATAAGCCAGGGGTCCGCCGAAGATGTGATTAAGTTCTTTGCGATGATCTTGAAAACCAGTCGGGGCATCGTCTTCATCATCTTTCTTCTTTGATGTGCCTTGATCTCCGTCTGAAGGTTTACGTGCGTTCTTGACGTATTGCTCCGCGAACTGTTTGTAGACGAAGCAATCTTTGGCCACGAGGTTGGAGTTGGGATGATGCGGGCATTGGGAGTTCATTATCTTGTCGAAGGTGTTGACGCGGGAACGTTGTCGGGGAAGATGGAGAGGTGGTCGCCACAAGTTCTTCGGGCTTACGCTTGCGATCCTTGTGGTTGTTACTTCCACTCCCTCCTGCGGTCGGCGTGTCCTTCTTTGGCTTCCAAGTGGTGCCCGACTGTTTGGACGCGGTAATAGCATATTCGGCTTTGGCATACTCGTGGGCTTTTTCAAACATCTGCTTAACCGTCCTGGGAGGTTTACGCCCGAACTTGCCGACTAGGTCCTCGTGGCGAATGCCTTTAGTGAAGGCGGCGATGATGATGTCGTCGGTGATGTCGGAGATCTTGTTGCGTTGTTCGGAGAAGCGTCGGATGTAATCTCGAAGGGATTCTCCAGACTTCTGAACGACATTGTAGAGATCAAACTGTGTGCCAGGGCGTTCAAAGGTGCCCTGGAAGTTGGCGATGAAGTGATCACGAAGTTCCGCCCATGATCCGATTGTGCCACGGGGTAGTCCGTGGAGCCAGGATCGGGCGGAGTTCGCTAGGGCCACAGGTAGATAGTTTGCCATGGCCTTGCTGTCTCCTCCTGCTGCGCGGATTGCGAGTCCGTAGACGGTGAGCCAAGACTCCGGATTAGTGGTGCCGTCATACTTCTCGATTCCAGTCGGCTTAAAGCCGGCTGGCCAATCCACTCGACGCAGGTCATTAGTGAAGGCAGCTACTCCATCCACGTCGTCGTCGTAGCGATTTGGTGAATGGCGGTGACCTCGTGCTGCACGGCGCTGGTTGATCGTGTCGCGAAGGTCGACGGGACGCTGGTGAGGTGGAGAGCGAGGCCGTTCGACTCGGCGCTCCCTGTGACGTTCGGGAGGCGAGTGAATAGATCGTTCGTCATGACCCCTGCTCCTGCGACTAGATCCTGTGCCGATGATGCTGAGGCTTGGCTGATGATAATCATGAGATCGGAGGTGAGGGACTCGGCTATCAGTCGGGGTGCGGGTGCTTGCGGAGTTGGCTGGAACCGAGGCAGCGATCATGGTCTTCGTCTGGTTCAAGATGTTGACAACATGATCAACTTGGTTGAGTGCGTCTTCCTTGAGGAGGGTGTCGAGGAGAGTGATTGCTGCAACCGCGTTCTGCTGGGGGTGCGAAAGACCGCTGTTCCATCGACGTCTTGTTGCCCAATGAGCTCTCTCGCTCGGCGCCCAGATTCCAAGGCGCGTTGCCGTCGATCTTCAGCCTCCTTTGCAATCCGTTCGTGATCTTGTTGCTCGCGCTGTAGTCGTTCTCGCTCCTGTCGCTGTCGCTCTTCCTCCAGTCGGCGACGTTCAGCTTCTTGCCGTGCGCGATCTTGGTCCGCTTCTCGGGCTTGGCGCTGTTCCTCCGTTTCGTTGTCAGCCATGAATACGCCGAAGAAGAGGAGCGTGTAATTATCCTCATAGCTGTCGTCGAAGTTGTCGAGGTCGCCGTGGTCATAGTGGTAGCCGAAATCGTCGTAGTCGAGGATCTCGGTTGGTCGAGAACTGACGCCGGGGGAGCTAAGGTAACCATCCAACTCTTCCGTCGAGACTGTCCCAAGAGGTTGGAGTATAACGCCAACCTCTCTAGATCTAGATTGGATCGGGGCCGAAGCCGGAGCTCGCCTAGATCTTCGAGTGGGAGATGTCTTGGCAGTGAAGACAGCGGCCAAATCATCAGGAAGTTTCATCAGGATTGAGGGATAGGACCCGTCGTCTTGATCTGGTCGCGGAAGAGTAGATTGGATCTCGTCCGAGTGGTTTGAAGCCGACTCGGGAGAGATGCTCTTGGAGTAGGCCTCGGCCGAGTTCGGAATACCGAATGGCACGGGGACCTGGTCTCTCCCCGACTGGTTCGGGTCCGAGTCAAGGAGAGAGATCTTGCCGAAGTCGTTGGTGATGAAGTTGAGGCTGCCGAACCGGAACGCCTGCCCGGGAGGGAAGGCGAAGTCGTCGATGCCAGAAACGAAACCCATCGCACTTAGTCGGCGAGAACTTGACGCTACCCCTACCTGGCGCGCCAACTATCGAAACAAGATTTCGACAATAATAAAAGGGGGTGGCTATCAAGCTAGGAAAGTGGATGGGTTTGGAGACAAGGAATTTTATACAGGTTCAGGCCTTCTTATTCAAGAAGTAATACCCTACTCCTGTCCGGGGATGATTCCGCCGAGTGTGTTATTGATTGTATGATTGGGAGAAAAAGAATCGTCCCGAGAGGAACCCGGACCCCTCCTTATATAGGGGAAGGGGTCCGTATTACAGAGTACAGTCTATATCCTAACGGAATATGGGATTACAGATAAAATACAATCGTAACCGACTAGGATCCCGGGTATTTTCTTGACATACAAGTTTAGAATCTAACCCGAGTCCTCATAAAGATATTCTATCTATATTTGGTACCATATATCCAGCTGGAATATAACCGCCATGTAGATATGGGGTAACCATAATCTCCACAGTAAAACTTATATATATGTGTTCTTAGCGACTTAAACGACAATCTTCGACGAAAAAAAACTTCAGAACCAAGTTTTAAAATTTAAATTTTGGCATCGGTTGATGCTGAATAGAGTAAACGATGGGCGCGAGGGAGAGATGGCTGCGCCGCCGCCGTGCACGGACGGGAGGCGGCCATGGTGTGATTCGAACCGGATTCTAGCAGGAGGAAGACGAAATGGGCCGATACGAAATTTGGGCTTGGATGTGTGGGAGCTGAAAGTCACTTATGCTATCAGCCATGGCCCATACCACTAGCTGGCACGCTGCAGGCTGCTGCGTCACTGAAATTCCCCACCCACGCATCGCACCGCACGTCGCCGGCGGCGGGTTGCCCTCCCCTTCTCCGTCCCCGTCTCTGGCCATCCTCCCCATCCATCCGCCGTGCTGCTGCCTGCTATAGCGCCCCTAGGCCGGCAGCCCGCCAAACGCTGCCCCAGCTGGGCAGCCACGCAACCAGCCGTCTAGCCCACTCCGCTCCCAGCGATAGGGCCGGAGCCGGTCACCTACACCTCCCTCTCGCTCTTATCCTTTGCATACTTCGTTCTGCATCTCGTCTGATCGATCTTCTCCTTTGTCATCTTTCTTACAGTTGCAAGTTGCTTCTTCAATGGCAGGTTCGGAGGATTTGAGCGGTTTGGCAGCTTCACTTGGAGAGTTACACGTGGAATCATCTGTTAGATGGATCTCCCTCCCCTTGAGCCCAACGGCTCAAGGGGGCCTTGACCCGCGCCCTGATCGGGGGCGCCCAGCCCAATGGCTGGTGGGCCCCCGTCACACTGTGCCATATAAAGAGGGGTGGAGGACGGGACGGCATAACGACACAAGGAACGAGGTTCGTCGCCGCCGCCACTCCACCCCATAAACCCTAACCGATCGAGGGGGCGCAGCCAGTGACGGGAAGTCCACCGCCGCGCCACGCCTCGTCGTCGACACCGTCGCTGCTGCAACCGCATCACCGCCATCGGAACCGAGCACATCGTCGCCGCCGTCCACGTCAAGCCCGCGACGACAACGACGATGGCCGGCCGGACTTCCTCTTCCTCAACAACGACTGGTCACAACCCTAAATCCTCTCACTCCCTCTTTGTTCATTCATCTATTGTTGTTCATCCATTGCAAATAGAACCACCCGACTAGATCTAAACCTAGGTGATCCAATAGACAACCCTATCAATGGTATCAGAGCCATCCTAGCGTTTAGTTTGGTTCGGGGATAGACATCCACAGAGAAGAAAGAAATCCAAAGAGAAAAGCAAACGATCCAACGGATCAAAAAGATCGAAACCCTAACCCTAATCTTACCTCGTCGCCGGCCGTCGATGACGCCGGCCACGGAGGGGGGGAGGGGCAAAGAGGCACCGCCGAGGAGCCACTCGACGGCCGCGCGCGCACCCGCGGGTGCACGCGCGCGCCGGCGAGGGGGCCCGCGGCGGCGCCGCCATCTCCGTTTTTCGGCCGCCGCTCTCTCTCACACGGTGGGGGCTAGAGACGGTGGAGGGAGCGGAGAAGAGAAAAGGAAGAGGGCGCAAGGGCCGCTGGCAGCGGCGACGCCGCTCCGCTCGGCCGCTCCGCCCGGCGGCGCGCTAGAGAAAAAGTGGGCGAGCGGCAGCGCGAGGTCGCCGGCCATGGCGCGGCGGCGCAAGGGTCGCCGGCGTAGATGACGCCACTCGGCGCGGCCGCACCCGCCCGCAAGAGAGAAGAGGCTAGGGTTTCGGCCGGCCGGCGGCTGGGGTCGGGTTTTTGTCCCTCCGATCTTAGCGCCCGGCCGTCCGATCGAAACCCTAGCGATCGGACGGCCGACGGCGGCCGGGCCGAAAGCGGCCCAAGTGGGGAGCGCGCGGCGGCGGCTTTCCCGGCCCAGGCCCAGGTTGCGGCCTGGGGGAGGGGAGGGGGCGCTCGCCCGTGCGCAAGGTGGCCATGGACCGACCGGCAAAGGCCGGAAAAGTTCAATTTAGGTCCCTCGGGGCCGAAAGAAAAAGAAAAGAAGAGTTTAATAATAGGTCCTCTCAGAAGCTTTTTCAATTATGTATAATTATTGTGATTATTTCTAAGCAATTTGAACCAACGTGAAAATTGTTTAGAGAATAGATAAATGTGAGAAATGCTTCTGAACATGTATTTTGTATATTTTCATGCAAATTACAATAGAATTTTGAATTGTTTTTGCATGTTTTACCTCTGTTTAAATTTGAACCAACGGGAGAATTTTACAGAGAGTAAATAACAGAGTTTTGTTATTGTTTATACGAATTGTATATAGATCTTCCGCTGCAAATAGATGAAATTGATGAAAATTAGTGTTTCTAAAATTAAATTTCGAACCAACGGGAGATTTTAATTTTAGGAACATTAATTATGTGCTATGATGTTGTAATTTTTCTGACCAACGTTGATAATTGCAATGTTATAGTTATGGCTTTATGTGTTATGTCTATTTTCTGCCCAACGGTGATGTAGACTTAATACATAATAATTTTAATGTTAATTTTGTTCTCACAATACATGATTATCTCAGGTGGCTACTCCTTGATGGGTTACATTAAAGATATTCCGACCCTGAAAGGAGATAACTACGAAGAATGGAAAAGAGAACTCGACCTTGCCTTTATCTTGGGAGAGGTGGACTGGGTGTTGACTACCCCATGTCCTATAGAACCTGCTGAAATTTTCAGAGGTGAAAAAGAGTCAGATGCTGAATGGCAAAAGAGAGAGAGGGACAATGCTTCCCTCATCATGTCGTATGACATTGAGCATGCGAAATGGTCTTCAGCCAACAAGAATTGTTTGGCTGCGGTAAAGAACACGATTGAGCCAACCATATTGGGCTCAATCCCAGAGTATGACACTGTCTCTAAATACCTCGAAAGTATAAAGAGCCAGTTTACTGGTTCTTCAAAGTTTTATGCGACACAGCTGATAAAGCAGCTTTTTACAGAGAGGTACCATGGAGGTGGTGTAAAAGACCACATTCTTAGGATGAGCAACATGGCTTCCAAATTGAAGCAAAAAGATTTGGGCATCTCAGATGACTTTCTGGTCCATCTGGTTTTGTCCTCATTGCCAAAGAACTTTGACAACCTTGTTGTCAACTACAAAATAAGTACAGAGAATTGGAATATTGAAGAGCTCATCTCTAATTGTGTGCAAGAGGAGGAAAGACACAAAGAGACCAATGGTGACTCCATTAACCTTGTCAAAGATAACAAGGAAAAGAGCCACAGGTCACCCTCCTCAAAAGAAAAACAGCCTCAGCATCTGCCTCAGAAACAACAGTTTACAGTTGAGACAAGATCAGTGTCTACACTGCAAGAAGACAAGACATTCCAAGAAAGATCATCCTGACTTCCTGACAGTGATCATGGCAAAGAAAGGTGAGAACATTATTACATTTGTAAAGAATCTCATTATGATTGGTTATTCTAGATCCACATGGTGGATTTATTCTGGAGCAACTATTCATGTGTGTAATTGTTTAAAGGGATTCCGTTCAATGAGGACTACGCAAAGAAGTGAAAGATCCATTAGAGTTGCTAATGGAGTTGAAGCAAAAGTTGAAGCTGTTGGAGATTTTCGCCTAGAACTCGCGAATGGCTTCACACTTTTACTTCCAGATGTTTTTATGTCCATTCTTTGCAAAGAAACTTGATAATAAGTGTATCCAAATTGGATTCTGATAGATATGAAATGGCAAATGTGAACTATGGTATAATAATGAATGTATTGGTCTTGTGTTGCAAGATCAGCTTTATTTGTTATCTCTTTCTGAGAATGTGAATGTTGTGTCCTCGTTGACAAAAGAAAAGAAAAGCGAACTTCTGATGTCTCATCGAAATTATGGCACTGTTGTTTATGCCATATTTCGAGGGGGAGAATTGAGAGACTGGTTAAGAATGTAGTTCTTCCTCCATTGGAGTTCTCAGTTTTAGAACGATGCATACAATGTATAGAATGCATCGGTGCCCAAAACACCGTATGAGCTATGAATCCTCCGTGTGTGGGGAAGTCCTGCAAAGGATAAAGTATTTAACCCAAAACAGTAAGCTGCCATTTTATTGGTTATTCTGAAAGATCAAAGGGTCATCGTTTCTACTGTCTAAACAGTTATACAAAGTTTGTAGAAACGAGACACGCCGTCTTCTTGGAAGACGAAATGATTAGGGGGAGCTCGGTAATTTGAGAAATTGATCTTGAGGAGAGGCGGGTGTCTGTACCCGCTCCGTCGACTCAGGAACCTTTCTTCTCTCTACCTGCTAATGTTGTGCCAGCAATGCATGCCGTTGCGGTACCAACACCTGTTGTTATCTCTCCTGTGGCAACAATGAATGAAAGTGAGGAATCTGTTCTACAGGATTCAACAGAAATTATTGCCACATCAGAGGAGGAGCTGCAACAGCCTCAAACAGATAATGTGCCAGAATAGGAGGCCCCTAGAAGGCCTGAAAGAGTCGCATATGGAGGATGATCCCATCTCATATGAAGAGGCCATGAGAAGCCATGAAAGATGAAATGAAATCAATGAAATTAAATGATGTCTGGGATTTAGAAGAAATTCCTAAAGGAGCCAAAACAGTAGGCTGTAAATGGGTCTACAAAACCAAATATGACTCCAGAGGGAATATAGAAAAGTTTAAAGTGCGACTTGTGGCAAAAGTTTTCACGCAAAGAGAAGGCATTGATTACAATGAGACTTTTCTCCAGTCTCTTGTAAAGATTCCTTTATGATTATAATGGCACTAGTGGCACATTATGATTTGGAATTACATCAGATGGATGTAAAAATGGAATTTCTAAATGGTGATTTGAAGAAAAAAAGTATACATGGCACAACCGAAAGGTTTCGTCATGAAATGAAACGAAAATATGGGATGCCGTATAAAGAGATCCATTTATGGGTTAAAGCAAAGCTTCGAGACAATGCTACTTGAAGTTTGATGGAACAATAAAGAAATTTGGGTTTTCAAGAGAATGTAGAGGACAACTGTATTGATTCAAAGTTAAGAATGGGAGACTCATTTTCCTAATTCTGTATGTAGATGACGTTCTACTGGCTAGTAGTGATGTCAATCTACTGCAGGAAATAAAGAAATTCTTGTCCTCAAACTTTGACATGAAAGACCTCGGTGAGGCTTCATATGTTTTGGGCATAGAGATTCACCGAAATAGAACAAAGTATGCATTGGGATTTTCTCAAAAGGCATATATATAGAAAAGGTGTTGAAGAAATTCAATATGTACATATGCAGTGCTACACCTGCTCCTATAGTCAAAGGCGAAAAGTATGGGGCATCACAATGTCCTAGAAATCAGTATGAGCTCAATGAAATGAAAATAAAGCCATATGCGTCAACTGTAGGAAGCCTACAGTACGCTCAAGTGTGCACACGACCTGACTTGGCATTTGTTACCGGGTTATTTGGCAGATTGCAAAGTAATCCAGGCCTAGAGCACTGGAATTAGTAAAGATTATTTGCAAAGAACAAAAGCCTCATGCTGTCTTACAGAAAATCAGAATCGCTCCACATAGTGGGGTATTCGAATTCTGACTTTGCAAAAGATAATACAAAGTTAACATCGGGGGATACATGTTTACCCTGGCAGTAGGAGCTATTTCATGGAAAAGCTCAAAACATACTACCACTGCAGGGTCTACCATGTATGCCGAGTTTATAGCATGCCATGAGGCTACGGGGCAGGTGAACTGGCTAATGAAGTTCATACCCGGTTTTAAAGGTGGTTGATAGTATTGAGAAACCACTAAAGTTATACTGCGATAAAGAACCCACAGTAATGTACTCTCACAACAATTAGTCAAGTGGTGCTGCCAAACACATTGACATAAAGTACTATGTTGTGAAAGACAAAGTCCGGGATCAAACAATCAGTCTCGAGCACATAAGAACAGAAAGGATGCTCGCGGATCCGCTCATGAAAGGCCTACCTCCCAACATGTTCAAGGAACATGTAGCATGCATGGGTTTTAAGGGAAGCCTTATGAATCCTGGACTATAGGGCCCAAAAGTTAAAGTATCTGTTTCTGAATAGAGATGTGTATAGTGGCTGTCGAATCCATCGGTAATTAACCGTGACGATGAAACATGCTCTATATGTAAATCTGTGATGGAATAGAAAAAGCTAAAGGAAATAGTGAGATCAAGGGGGAGAATGTTAGATGGATCTCCCTCCCCTTGAGCCCAACGGCTCAAGGGGGCCTTGACCCGCGCCCTGATCGGGGGCGCCCAGCCCAATGGCTGGTGGGCCCCCGTCACACTGTGCCATATAAAGAGGGGTGGAGGACGGGACGGCATAACGACACAAGGAACGAGGTTCGTCGCCGCCGCCACTCCACCCCATAAACCCTAACCGATCGAGGGGGCGCAGCCAGTGACGGGAAGTCCACCGCCGCGCCACGCCTCGTCGTCGACACCGTCGCTGCTGCAACCGCATCACCGCCATCGGAACCGAGCACATCGTCGCCGCCGTCCACGTCAAGCCCGCGACGACAACGACGATGGCCGGCCGGACTTCCTCTTCCTCAACAACGACTGGTCACAACCCTAAATCCTCTCACTCCCTCTTTGTTCATTCATCTATTGTTGTTCATCCATTGCAAATAGAACCACCCGACTAGATCTAAACCTAGGTGATCCAATAGACAACCCTATCATCATCAGCTTCGAAGGACAGTGAAATCTCTCAGCCTGATTCGTGTCACTGCACATGTTATCTTAGCCTACTTGTTAGTTGTCATTGCTTGGGATGTACACACTAGAATTGCATCCTGCTATCATGTAGCTCTGTTTATATATTTGAACTGCTTACAAAGCAACCTGTGATCAAATGATGGTTGTGCTTGTTGATAATACAAAGCAAAGGTACTACAATAAGTTGATTTGCGTGTGTTTTGTTCAGGCAATTCGGTTGATGATGATGCTATTGCTGATGATGATGTATGGGATGATGTTTCGGATTCTCCTGGTCATGGATCCACATTAGACAGAGAGTGGGTTCACAGGCAGAACCAGTTTCATAAGGTATAAACCTAAGGCAGCAATTTGATTATGGGAACTTTGCCCTATTCCTAAAGGAATCTGTGAAATTGTTATGTTCCATTTAAATCATCTTTACTGCAATATATTTCTTTAGTTATGATTTGTGAAACTTGTGTTTGGACCAGAATGTGTAAAGTAATCTTTCCATTTTTCCTTTAGATGGGATACAGGGATGGTATAGCAGAAGGACAGAAGGACATCGCCCAAGAGGGGTTCAATGTTGGGTTTGGGCAATCTGTGCATGTTGGCTATAAGTGGGGTCTTGTTCGTGGGATTACCAGGTTAAAATGGATATTTGCCATTCCAAGTATAGTTCTTGTACGCAGCCGCTTGTAGCATCCTTATTGATTCTGTTTTCTGTTTATTGTCCTTAAAACAGTGCATTAGCTAGTCTCCCTGACAGCTTGAAAGAAAAATTGTTGCCCAATGTCCAGTGCAGAGGACAACTCCAAGAACTGAATAATTCTGTGCAAGAAATTTCAGCAGAAGACGCACTTCAGATGTTTCATGAGAGCATTCTTCAGAGTAGCCATTCATCAGAGGAACCAGATGCAACATTATAGAGAGCTACAGATTCCAGTAGGTTGCAAAGCCTCTCAAAGGATCTTGTGATTTTGTTGCATGAATGCTCAGATGTGAAAGTTAGCGAAGAACTGAGAGGAGGTTCATAAACAAGTTGGCGGAATTGTGAGCACTACCAACCCTATGTCTGGCCTAGTTGCTACTTGCGTCGAATTTCAGTTTGCTGAACATCGAGGAAGATGGTGATTCAGGGGTGTTGTTGGAGATGGAAGCGATTCAATTCCTTGATCTCACAACCATGATTTGCTGTTTCGAACTCAAAAGGCTTAAGCCTCAAAGACCAAGAAATTAATAAGAATGTAATTGTAAATCTTGTAACTAAGATTTCACTGATCATATAAGCCTTTCCTTTTCCTGCTAGATATAACCGGTTTCGTATCTGTAACTCGCAGCATGCACACACACACACACACGCATTTCATTAGAACTTTGGCAGCTGCTAAGATGATAACTTCCTGAATATCTTCTGCAGAAAGTCTGGTGTATGACAGTTGCATTGTAACTTTGCATCTTCTGGTTCCAGGAAGTGTACTCACTTTTTTATCAATTGAGAAGGTTCGAGCCACTCCTGAATGTTTGCTACTGCCCTACTTATGTAATGTTGAATGTTGATATGATGAATGGCCCTTGGTAATTTCAGTTTGACAGCTCATGTCAGTAAGTGGCCCGCTTCTATTACATGTGGTTGGTGCGATTGGTGCATCAAGCTCAGCACCTCTTTTCGACATGTACCAGGTTGGTGAGAACATCAACACTTCTATCCGTTGCATGTTGTGAGTGTTGGTTTTCAATATTAATGTCATTCATTCATGAATATTCATGATTGATCTGGTTGGAGCGTTCATTGATATTTTATACAGTACAGTTATCTTGAATCTGAACTATGATTGATCTGGTCTCTTGGCTTGGTTGCTCCTGACTCCTGAATTGAATGAAATACTCCTGACATCCCAATCGGTTGATTGGCACTTCTGACGGTACATGTTATTCTGAATAGATTCAGTTTATTGGATTGGAGGTTCTTTTTTTACCCAATCCTGTCGTTAAATCTACATCAGAACCTATAGCAACAGAGTTTTTCCTTCCCTATTTCTTGTTACATGACATGTATTCAGGTTACATGCTCGCATATCAATTCTGATTTCTTGTTCCCAGCAAGTTTGGCACCGTCTTATTGTCAACACGCTTGCACAGAGACTGGCAGACTGCTGTCACATATCCAATTCTGATTTCTGGTTCCCAGCAAGTTCAGGCCCATCACTCTCCTAGCGGTATTCTGAAAAGCTACTTAAACTTGCCATCACTTATCAGTCAAGTTAGATCACAGCTCAGAACTTATTAAGATGGCGAAAGATATGCATCTTCTGTTAGTGATTACAGGAGATATAGGAGAGATTGAATGGATAATAATAGTTCTGTACCCATAGATAATCAAGACATGCTATTGTAGGGAGAACAAATGCTGTCAATAAGAGTTTTATTGATCTTTGCCCAAGGAATACATCCCAACACTCTTGCCACTTCGCAAGTCTCGTACACTTACACATTAATCTATCTTATATTTTTATTAAAAAATCATAATTATTTAGTTGATATACAAGAAATTGGTGTACGTCTACTTAAGAGATTAGAATCCATTTAAGAGATTAGAATCCATCCTCGATGTCATGGCCATATTTTTTTTTTGCTTGTAACGATAAGAAGATGAAGATGACGTAGGCTGCCTGTTTATTATCAACCAACATATCAGCTAACGAGAAACATCGGTTATTTTGTAGTATACACAAAACGTGTTCACTATCATGCACACGCTGCTGATGCACACTCTTTTTTAATTATATGGGCTCTCCATACATATATGTGTGTATATAAAAAGTGTACGTACGAGTAGTATGTAGTACGTAGAAATCTTAATTAGTCTATGGATGGATGGATGGATGATTGGATGGAATCAGGAGTGCATCATCTGATTATTATTATTGTCGTCGTCGTCGTCGTTGGCCGGATGGGTTCCGGCAGGGTGCATCTCCGTCTCGTGTAGCTGGCGGTAGCGCTTCTCAGCCTCGGGCATGGCGCCCATGATGGCGCGGAGGCGGAGGTTGACGTCGTCGAGGCGGTCGTACACAGCGTCGTTGGTGAACATGCCGGCGCAGACCTTGGTGATGGTGGTCCAGCTCTCGGCCACCGGCAGAAGGATGATGACGACCGAGCCCACAGTCCCCCACGCGATCGCCACCGCGGCCCACAGCGTGAAGTAGCCAAGGCTGTACCTCCTCGCCGGCAGAGACAGCGCAGGCCACGCCACGACGATGACGGCGGTGAAGACGAGGCCCCACCTGACGATCCAACGCTTGGCGTGCACCAGGCGCTCCTCCTTGAGCTCGTCGTCCAGCGCGGCATGCACGCTCTCCACCGTGGTGATCATCTCCCGGCTGGTCCCCCAGTCGTAGTGCTGCGGGCGCAGCAGGCTGCACGCCGCGTGCACCGCCCCGCCCACCAGGATGGACACCAGGTTGCCCGCCAGCATCGGCGCGTTCCGACCTGTGGTGTCCAGGTTCACGCGCCCGTACTGCACCTTGGCCACCGTGAGCCACACGGCCACGCCCAGCGCGCAGCCGGACACCGCGCCGCCCATGGCGCCCACCGCGTTGGCCTTGCTCCACAGCAGCAGCAGGGCGATGGGGATGACTGCGGATCCCACAATGACTCCCATGGCCAGGTACATCCACCCCAGGGACACCCCCGCCACGTTGAGCACCACGGCGAGGACCCCCATGAAGCAGCCGAAGCCGAGCACGACGGCCCTCGACACGCGGAGTATCTGCTTGCCGGAGGCGCCCGGGTTGAGGTACGTCCGGTAGATGTCGTAGGTGCAGAGGGAGGAGACGGCCACCAGCTCGGCGGAGCCGGCGGATGTGACGGCCATGAAGAGCATGGTGAGTAGCAGGACGGAGCCGGACTTGCCCATGAGCGCTGTTGCGGTGGCCGGGGGCACCAGGCCCTTGGCTGCCTCGGCGGCGGTGAGCGGGAGGTCCAGGGCGAGCGCGCCGAGGCCGAGCGAGGTGGCCAGCGAGAAGGGAACGGCGAACCACACGAGGCCGCCCAGCAGGTAGCCCTTGTGGGTGGAGGATGGCCGGGCGGCGATGGCGCTCATCCAGTAGCCCTGCAGCAAATTAAATTACTTGTAATTAATTGACGATCCAAGATAATTATTAGTACTACGTACGTTTGGGTACGTACGTTGTCTACGAACACCGTTCCAAAGTTGCCGACGATGTTGATGATGCCGAAGACGAGCCCCCCCGAGCTGAGCATGGTGAGGTAGGAGCCCTTGAAGTTGCCGGCGACGGGGCCGCACGCCTGGCCGTTGCGCGAGAGGTCGGCGGAGCAGTCGCGCGCGGCGCTGGCGACGGCCATGAGGCGATCATACACCACACGCGGGCTCCCGAGTTTGGAGCTGGAGGTGTAGACGAGGAAGACGAAGACGACGAGCACCGCGTGCACGACGACGGAGTGGATGTAGCTGGCGAGGAAGGTGGCCTTGAGGCCGCCGGCGAGTGTGTAGACGACGACGCCGAGCGGGATGAGGAAGCTGGCGGCGTAGACGTTGACTCCGGTGAGGGCGTTGACGACGGCGGAGCCGCCAAGGAGGAGCATGGCGGTGACGATGACGTTGGTGAGGAGGCAGAAGGTGAGGAAGACGAGGTGGGCGGGGGTGCCCCATCGGGCGCGGACGATCTCGCAGACGGTGTGGGCGTTGGGGGCCTTGCGCTTGATCTCGATGGCCATCACGCCGAAGAGGAGCACCTGGATGGTGGCGCCGCTGGCGTACCAGAATGGCCCGCTCACCCCGTACTGCCATGCCACGTTCGAGCTCTGCAGGATGGTGGCGGCCCAGGTCCACTGCGACACGATCACGCTGGCGATCAGACCCGTCTTCACGCTGCGCCCCGCCGTGTTGAACCACTCCGACGTGTGCTGCGACCCGACGTAACGCTTCTCAAGCCACACCTATATATATATGCATACGTACGTAGGTAGTAGCCACAAATTAATTAATCATATCTCTGCGATCGATCGATCGATCGATCTCAAGAGAGGAGAGGCCGAAGGATCGGAGGCTAACCAGGAAGGAGGTGAAGAGCGCGAAGAAGGCGCCGAAGCCGAGCACGACGGCGTACCCGACGGCCTGCGTGAGCACCGGCCTTCCGCCGAAGTAGCTGCCGGCGCGGCTGCACACCCCGTTCACCACCGAGTAGTACTCCGCCCCGAACCCCAGCTCCGCAGGAGGGCACACGCCGCTCGCCATCGCCAGCTTCAATCCAATCGATCGATCCTAATTAAATGGGGAATTTTTACTCTAACAGACGGATAGATGGATATGTACTGTACTAGCTAGCAGATCAGAGATGTGTGCCTAGCCTATTAGGCGCGTATTTATACACGTATAATGACCATATATGCGATGCAAGCAAAGATACACTCTCCAGTCATAGATGCGATGCGATGCGAGCTTAATTTGGAGTGATTGGGTAGTTGAGCACGGAATCTTCTCTTCTTTTGACCCAGTCATCCACTAGCTAGCTATATTCCAGCTGCATGCGTACATCATAGAGTAGTACAGTATATTATACACACTCGTCGTTTTCTCTGATGGCGACCAGATTATACAAAACTCCATTTATTTCGTTTTCGCAAAGTCCAACTTAGTTTACTCACTTATATATAACACCAAACAAGGGCGCTTCACTTGTCAACAACACGTACTGCACGCTATCAGAATCGATAGCTACACTTCCGTCGATTCTCTCTGCTTCCTCCTCCGATAGGCCAGGTTTAAGGGAAATGGCACTAATTAACAAGCCACTAGGATCCAGTTGTAACGATAACAATCCAAGGTCAAAATCGCCCGCACACAACTCGCTACATAATTAGTTGCTCCAGTTGCGCATGAATGCCATGTCCATGTTTCTGTTTGTCAACGCACACCGCTTGCACCCATTCTATTTGTGGAGCAAACTCTGTTTTTTTTAAAAAAAAAGCGTTCTCACAAGTCATCGAATATGCAATGTCAACGGCTTACATTAAGTATGGCAGAAAATCTTTTTAATCCCCTCTAAAGACGCAGCCGCGGCCTCTCCACATCTGCATCATCGTGGAGGCTGCCTAGGCCGCGGGACGGCGGGAGGCGTGGCCTTCGCTTCTGGTCCGCACCTCTATTGGATGGATGGATCCATTCTCTCTAGTGAAGTTTGATGAAACGCATGAAAATTTCCTTACTTGTGTCTCTGTTCTTTAAGGATAAAGCGACAACGTTGCCGCAACAGGAATTGCAACGGTTAACTGCTACATTATTTTTTAACGCATCTGCCTGTAAACACTATATAAATAATATATTTTTTGGCTTCCTAAAGGAAGTAGCACAAATAGTTGATAGTTATTGTTACCTTCCCTCACAATGGATATTGCAAAACAGGATGTGAGCTTTTATTGCTTATTCATTGCTTTAATCCTATACCGTGGACAACTAAAAAGAGATTGGATAGACCTGAAAGCCTTTTGTGTGTATGCGGAGTCCTGCGGAAAGCGAACATGCCCGTACCTATAGTCTACCTAGGATCGATCTAATCCTAGGGGAATATGTGACTCATAGTGGAATTAGTTGAACATTGAAATTCAAACTTTGGTAGGCAACCCGTATAGTCTATTGTGTACGGGCATTGAGTATTGCCTTTAAAAAAAGGGTATATGAGACTGCCAAATAATCGTTCGATGAGGTTTAATGGGATTTCAGACACTTTATGCTGCTCATTGATCTAGGGTTTCCTTTGTAGTTTCTTAAGGAGATGTTTGTAGTACCTTGAGAATCAGGATGGGAATGGCTAGGGTCAATCCACTTATAAATTGAATCGATCCTTAAATTTACTCTAATGAATCTTTAGAATCACTCCAAAATGTAAACGGATCAAACCATTAGAACTTGCACAATCCTAGCAACAGGCGTCCAATTAGTAATTCCGGAGTGCCGCAGCCATGGCGATGGTTGCGCACATGACCTCCCTAGCTCCAAGCTGCGCACTGCTACACTGTGGGCCTCACATGTATTGGACGGAGGGAGTGTATTATCCAATGGATACAGGTAACCCATTATGGGCCCCACATGCTTTGTATAATAAATCGTTCCTATAAAATCCAATAAGTTTTTATAGTGTGAGCACGAGTTTTAAAAAAATTGTATGTCCGAGTTTTACCTACATGTAATACGAATTTTTTGGTCTATTAGTAATGCAGATGATCCATTTGGGTGTTCATGGATAATCTATCGATATAATGAACTCGTAGTGGATTGACCTTGTTAGACCATGGATCCATAAACTCAGTGGAAATGGTTTAGGCACGATTCATATCCTAACCATTCCCATCCTGACTTGGCATACTCCAAAAAGCCGTTGAAGTGAGGCCTAAAATCTTGAAAATGGAAGTTGGAGATTTTGATCAATGGTGTCTCCATCATCGCCAACCACAGTAAACAACTAATGTTCTTGATTACATTTCATAATGTTCACTGTAGATGGTCGTATGGAATTTGACGGAGGCTAAGATGACATGGTAACAAGATTACAAGACTATGGCGGTGTCTTATGGGCAGTTTTATGGATGGGGCAAGCACAAGGGACAACAAAAAAGCAACATGTTAGGAGGTGGTATGGCTACCTGTGTGGTAGGGTAAGCAAGGAAAAACTACCAAAGAGGAATAAATAGGCATTATAGGAAATGTGGACATTCATGTTGGTGACTTGTACAAGTGATATGTATAGAAGGAGGTGCACATAAATCTTGATTGGTGGAGACTCTGGTTAGGGTACCATATGATGCAGAGGTGAAGGTCCCCATGTGGCAGATATGGTAGGGTGGCCTAGCTACTAGGCTTCCCTTCTTGCTTGTCCTGGTAGGCCTTTGTTGCTGACGGCGTCAAGGCTTGACACAACACCCCAAAAGGTTGGATCCCTTGCCTCTCAGCAGCCTATTTGCTTAACCTTGTCTCCTTTGCCCTCTCATGAATGCAGCCTCTGAGACCAAAGCCATGCACGAAGTCAACCTTAGCATCATCGCCCACCGCCGCGCCACTCCTTGAGCCCATTAACCACTGTCCATTTCGTTGCCTTCTTGCATGTGGCCTCGGCAGCCGACCCCCCATGCGTTCCATGGAGGAGGAGGAGGAGGAGGAGGAGGAGGAGGGATAACATGAGAGACGAGGGGACGGGCAGGTGGCGCAACATCCCTAGCACTCACAAGGCACGACCAAGGCTGCAACGATGACAATTTAGTAGTGGTAGCGTCACCGGCTCCTATAGATAGAACCAAGGATAAAGGTATGTCCTCTAATTGGTGCAACACAGGCCTAGATGGAAAGAAGAAAATGGTAGCAAAAGGTAATGAGCTTATTTAATTGGAATTAGTTAGGTGGCCCGCACAATTGTGCGCTAGCACCTATACAAAATGATCTAACTTTTTACACATGGTTTTATTAAAAAAATGTTAAATAGCCATTTAGTTGCCTTAGTCTTTCAAAAGATCGATCCTATCATCATTTTTTGTTTTTAGTTTTATATTTTTAAAAGTCACACCAGCCACCACTCTCTACTCTTTCGCCACACTTTTTTTTTCTGTTGCCCGACCTCCCACTGCTTCTAATCATCATCCTTGTGACCTTTAAAAATTCAACCTGATATGCACACACTAGTTTTTTACATGCAATGAACAGTAGCTTCTTCTCTCTCTTTGTATAGGGCCAAATTTGCCTTAATTTCTAGCACCAAAATGTTGAGGTGTGTCTCATTCATTAGATTCTGCTTCGATCAGTATAAATTCATTTTGGATGCAACAAATAGTAGCTTTCCTATTTTGTAGTTTATTAATTTTTCCCAATTTTGCAATTTTCATATGATTTTCGAATGAAAATTTACACCAAATTTAAGACGATACTAGTTTGGACCTTTCAAGTGTGAGCGTATTTTGGCTTTACGCCTTCGTGTGGAGTAAACGCCCTTTCTGTTGGGCGGGTTCGGCTGGATCTTTTGTTCCCCCTTTTCCTTTCTTCTCCGGCAGCGGCGGCGGCGATGGGGGACGGCCGCGTCGGAGGTGGAACGAATCGGCCGGCATGGCTGCAGCAATACGAACTAGTGGGCAAGATTGGCGAGGGGACCTACGGCCTCGTCTTCCTCGCTCGCCTCAAACAATCGCATCCCCACGCTGCCGCTGGCGTTGGCCGCCGTGGCTCTCCCATCGCCATCAAGAAGTTCAAGCAGTCCAAGGAGGGCGACGGTGTCTCGCCCACCGCCATCAGAGAGATCATGGTACCTTCCTCAGGGAGATCCGCTTTCCCTACTCCTCCCTGCCATACCAAACCCTAACTAATCACTAGTCTTCTCCTCTTGCAGCTTCTGCGTGAGATCAACCACGAGAATGTTGTCAAGCTCGTCAATGTTCACATCAACCACGCCGACATGTCCCTCTACCTCGCCTTCGATTACGCCGAGCACGATCTCTATGTAAGCAGCAACGCCCATCTCCAATCTTCTCTCTTATCTATTGTACAGTAGTAATCATTTGTTTACTCCAGTTAACAGCTAATGAACCTATGAAACATATCACAGGAGATTATCAGGCATCACAGAGAGAAGCTTAACCTCCCCATAAATCCCTACACAGTCAAATCTTTGCTCTGGCAACTGCTCAATGGTCTCAACTATCTCCATAGGTATCGTTTACTTCTTAAGTTATCATGATGAGTGATATGTAAAAACTGGAGCCTAACCTAGCACATGGAACTTTTTTTGCTGGGATCCTAGCTTATTCTGATTTTGTCTCCAAAAAGAAATCTAAAAATTGATTTCCCTTCCTCAGTAACTGGATTATCCATCGAGATCTCAAGCCTTCTAATATACTGGTATGTTGTCATATGCTACCTTTTGATGTACAACTCTGTCAATCTTGCTTTTCCTGGCTCACCGGATTAGGATGATGTGCCCCAATAGGTCATGGGAGAAGGAGAAGAACATGGAATTATAAAGATTGCTGATTTTGGACTCGCTAGGATATATCAAGCTCCATTAAAGCCATTAAGTGATAACGGGGTTAGTACATCCATCTGTGTGCCCATTAGCATGTTTGCTGCTGTCTTGTGTTTATTTCAAGGCATATAAGGGCAAAAAATGGTAGTTATTTGTAAAACTACTGCTTGTTTCCTCTTTTTTGTGATGAACCTTCATATGCTCATCTGTTCCTTTCCTTTTTTGTGGAAGCATTTAATGTGTTATCAATACCCACAAGTATATGGCTAACCAATAATTTCCAGGTTGTTGTTACCATCTGGTATCGGGCTCCAGAGTTGTTACTTGGGGCAAAGCACTACACAAGTGCTGTTGGTATCCTTGCTGGAGATTGAAATGATATCTTTCGACCATCTTTTTTCGCTTTATTCACTTCAGCTATTTCCTTAATCAACTCTAGATATGTGGGCAGTTGGTTGCATTTTTGCTGAATTGCTTACACTCAAACCACTGTTCCAAGGTGTTGAAGCCAAAGCTACTCCAAACCCGTTTCAAGTATGGGCATTCACACTCAAGTAATTGCTATCGTTACCTTGTATTCAGAATCAATTACTAGATACTAGACTAAGACTGCGACATTTTACGTTTTCTATGTGATGCTTAATTTCAAGTAAAGATATTATCACTCTTGCCTGGAACCTTCCTAAAAGTAAATAGGCAGTTGATAATTGTATGTTGTTGCATTTTATATATCCTGCTGTATTACATTTTGTAGAATATCCATGCTATGTATGCCATTCATTTGCCATTTATTTTTATCTCACAGTTGATTTGCCCATGTCTTGTAGCTTGATCAACTAGACAAGATTTTTAAGGTCTTAGGTATGGATGACTCATTTCTCATTCTGACTATTTGATTGTGTACTCTTCCTGAGATAATATATGCTCTAGGATAATAATATAATTATTCTCCAGGTCATCCTACCGTTGAGAAATGGCCTACCCTCGCTAATCTTCCATGCTGGCAAAACGATCAACAACACATTCAAGGGCATAAGTAGTATGTCATGCATTGTTAAGCTGCTTTTAAAAACCTGTGAAAATAGCATTTATCTTTCCTTGAGGAAATAGTTTCTCCCTTGCAGTGAGAACACAGGACTTCATAATATTGTTCACTTGCCTCAGAAGAGTCCTGCGTTTGATCTTCTCTCAAAAATGCTCGAGTATGTAACTGGCCTTTTGGCCTGCTATAAATCCAACATAACCTTGGATGATTATCATTTCTTACATTCATCTTTTGTACTACTAAATGTTGTTTTAATAACCTTATATATTCCTGTTTCAGGTATGATCCTCGAAAGCGTATAACAGCTGCGCAAGCTTTGGAACATGAGTAAGTAACTACATCCCTCCATTTATTCATTATTCCTTTTTTGCCTAGTTGGATACTTCTTATGTTCTCAGTGTACAGCAAGTGCGATCTGGAGTTCTAATTGCTTCCCTGAATCTAGTTTAGCAACCATGCAAGAAAAACAGTTATGCTTTATTTGCACGAGGTTTTGATACTTGGACGAGGTCTTGATGGTCCTCAGTTGGAGCTGATTTTGTGGGGTGGGCTGGAGTGGTGGTGGTAGTGGTGTGGCTTAAAGGGTGTAAAATTGCCAAGACCATCTGTTTAGAGTGGCTAACGGTCAATTTTTCCTTGTAAATATTTGTGCATCCTAAACCTTATATATTTTACTTTAAAAATATAAATATATGCAATCCTTAGTTTGATTCGCTATACTTCTAAATGTTTTCATCTCTAGTGGCTTGGATGAAGGTTTAATGCTGAAAACTCGAGGAAATACTACTTTCGTTGTGGTGCTATTGTTTATTACTCCCTCTGTTTCTTTTTGTAAGGCTATAGGCCCTCTGTTTCTTTTTGTAAGGCTATAGTCTTCCCTCTTCCTCTGTTTCTTTTTGAAAGGCCTAGAGTTTTTTCAATCATTTTGCAAAATATAAGGCTTGCATGTTGGTATTGAATTTTTTTTTCTTTATGTGCCCACAATTATTACATAGTCTCTCTCCCACATTTATAAGAAGCATCTTACTAACCATCTCCACACCTATTCTTGAGGTATTTTAGTATGGTGGCATGGTCATTTGAACTCTTCTTTCTCTTGGTTTTCCACCCTCCCTAATCATTTTTGCCCACTCAGAATAAGACTTGTAATTTTAAATGGAGGGAGTATGATTTACTACAGCAATCCTTCTGAACAACCCTTTTCTGTTGATAGGTACTTTCGAATGGATCCTCTGCCTGGACGGAAGTAAGTTATGTGTAATCAGGGTCTTAATATACTTTCCCTAACTTGCAACTCTTAAACATTTGGCTTTACATTTCCTCCACAAATGAAGATGACTAAAATCTTTCTCTGGTCAGTGCACTTTTACCATCGCAGGCTGGAGAGAAAATTGTGCAATATCCTGTGCGTCCAGTTGATACCACAACTGATTTTGAAGGAACAACAAGCCTTCAACCAACTCAAGCGGTAATGGATTTCTGTCCCTGTGCCACCTTTTTACCAAGACTTATCAGTATTACTTAGTATTGGGAAGCGATATACAGAATATGCATTTTCTTTGGTCAATTATCTAAGTTCTTTATACAGTTGGCAAAAATATCGTGCTTTAGGGCATATTCAATTGGTCAAAACAAGTCGATACATGGTTTTCAATGCCATCAAAGATTTGGTCCAGTGTGATTTAAGGAACCCAACTCCATGTTGGCACATTTTCTTGCAGAATTGATTCGGGTTGCTTTATGAGGTGCATTTTTATAATGTTGTACATTTGTATTTCAGCCATCAGGGAACGCAGCTCCTGGCAACCAGTCTGTGGTACCGAGACCCATTCCGAGGCAAATGCAACAACCCATGGTCGGTATGTCGAGAATGGGTGGTACAAACATGGCGGCCTTTGGTGCAGCTCCGCAAGGAGGCATAGCTGGGATGAATCCTGGTAATATTCCAATGCAGAGGGGCGCTGGAGCCCAATCTCATCCGCATCAGGTAAAAACTGCTGCCTTGGAAGTAAATGTTGCTTGGAAAAAGGCCTGTGACAAATGCAACATTTGATTGGCTTTTGATATGTGCAACAGTTGAGAAGGAAAGCTGATCAAGGGATGGGGATGCAGAACCCCGGTTATCCTACTCAACAGAAGAGGCGGTTCTGACCGACTGAATTTGTAATTGTATATCTATTTGGTGTGTTACTTGTGAGCACGCTTAGCTTTTGCGGTGGTTGCTCCTAGTCGTACAGTGAGAATTGTATCTGTTCTGTTGTAATTGAACGCCATCACAACCAACACCTCTACTAGTTAGTTACTAGAGTGACTACGCAGACAGGGCCAGGTTGCCGATGATGCCATCACCAATGGAGACAGGCATACCCAGCCAGAGTTTCGCCAATACTCTGCCCCCTGAACCCAACCAATGAATGAATTGGCATCGTACGATCTATTTCACATCCATGCTCTCATAATGATACAAAGCCATTTTTCGTCAGAAGAGAAATGCATCGAGTGCCCTTTCCTACTAAAGGAAAAAAAATATACACACAACTCTTCGAATCTGAAAATTCACGAATACAACTGGTTCAAGAGCAACCACAATTATATCAGTACAGTAGCAGCTTCATATATTTACAACCACTCCCGCTTCCACGAAAAGATGAACTTTCAGTAAGTAAACCAACCACTCCTCCCAAGTGCAAGTGCATCACTGTCACCTGTCTTTCGTAACACTACAGTTTTGCCTGAATCAAAGCTTTACTAAAAAGCCTCGCCCAGTTCACGACCAATAGCTACAACAGGAGAGGAGGAAATCAAATGGAAAAGAAAGCAAGATGCAGGCATCAAGTCAATCCACATAGCGCAAGGATCAACTATCCCTTGTTATTCTTCATGACGATGATGTTGAAGTTATCCGCCCTGAAGCTCGCATCTCATCCAGAGTTGTTGCTAACCAGTCCAATCCTTCATAGAGGCCATCGCCTTTGAGAGCACAGGTTCCTTGGATATGCCATATACGGTTGTTCAGGTCATATAGACCAAGGCCCTCGCATACTTCCATCGGAGTCATTGCGCCCCTCTACACTAGCAGATACATTACATGGGTGAGCAACAATTCAGTGGCAAATAATAAAGCCATTAAGTTATCTAGTGCAGAGTCATACTATTCCAATGGTTTCATAAGTGAATGCACAATGCCAACAAAATTTAGCATCATCATACCATAAGCATGGAAACATGCCAACAATTAATTCATCATCTGCAAACTCAACAAAAGATAGAAGTGCATCAACCATGAATGGCAGCAATCTCACATAGTGACATGGGCGATGGGAAACACAAGTTACATGGATGTGAACTTCAATAACAAATGATTTTTTTCATGTACTACCCAGATGATGAATTTACATATACAGGAAACAATTATATATTGGAAAAAGGTAATATAGTCATCTGAACAAGCTAGATGATGTTAAAGTAGCTGCCATAAGAAATACAGGTTCTGGAAAAAGAAAAAGAGACAAGTTGAGCATACCATGTCTTGCTTGTTAGCAAACACCAATAGAACACTATTAAGCATAAAAGGGTCATTAATAATGGCCTGAAAGACAGATTACCACACAGTAAGTTAGAGCAACAAGGCAACAAATGTCAGTGCAGAAGCAAACACTTGCTGCCTCATAATAAATTATTTATACATATATGTAAACCTGAAATTCAGCTCTGGCTCTCCCAATCCTCTCTCTATCCAGGGAATCAACTACGTAGATCTGCGAGTTTACAAAAGAAGAGAGGAATTTACAACGCAAGAAAAGTGTTTCTGAAACCAAAATGTGCGTGCTAATTAAATAAAGCAACGTGGATCTGTAACATAAAAGGTCCTTGTAGGCAATCTTGAGCAAAAGATTATTAGGAGCTGTAATGCTATTTGGCATAGCAATTGTTGCTCTTGGTGGGATTGATGTGGTTTTTGATAAGCAAGAGAAATAAAGTCACAAAGTGAATTGCTTGTTCAAAGGAGGTACGTTATGTGTAAGAAATGTTTCCCTATGCCGCTGGATAAAAGAAGAGGGGAAAAAAAGAGTGACCAGAGCATCGGTGTTGTTGAAGTAGTGCCTCCATAAGGGCCTCAATTTTTCCTGGCCACCAACATCCCACACAGTGAACACCACATTCTTGTATTGAACTTTCTCCACGTTGAAGCCTGCATGATGATGATGATGATGATGTTAGGTTGGGTTTGGATTTGGCTCAAAACAAAATAAAAGATTCGATGAGGCGGAGGGAGGGAGGGATGAGAGTGAACCTACCTATAGTGGGGACGGTGGAGAGAACTTCGCCGATGTGCAGCTTATAGAGTATGGTGGTCTTCCCCGCGGCATCTAGCCCAAGCATCACCACCTGCCAGCCAAAACCACCATCATCCATGATCCGTCCAAAACCCAATCTGAGACGAGACAGACAAGAGTGGAAAAGCTTGGGGTACCCGCATCTCCTTGTTGCCGAAGAAGGCGTCGAAGAGCTTGCGGAAGGCCTGCCCCATCCCTTCTTCGCCGATCGTAGCGGCCGGATCTAGAAGCTTCCAGAAGATTCCGCGGCGAGCGAGGAGGAGGAGGCGGGTACTCGGCTGGAGCCTGGAGCGGAGCCAAAGCCAAGGGAGCCAGGGGGGAGACACGAGAGAGGAGACGACCTACCTGCCCTGCCCTGCCCGTCGTGGATTCCAGATGCCGAGCCGAATAATCTGGGCCGTCCGATCTGTGCGGGGCCCACCTCTAGTTGAGTGCATTACCTTTCCCTTTTTTATTCATTTCATATACTTTGAAATCAACTTTCTAGTAATATTCATCCATTGGGCCTAGAGGTAGCAAGTGGCAACGGCTTGCAATTTGTAGTGTGTAAAGTAGTACCGTAAAGCGCTTTGTTACGTGAATTACTTAAAAAGGTTTTTAATATTTTTTCAACAATTAAGCTAGAAGCAAAAGAGCAAAATGAAATTAAGGAAATGTCACAGTTCATTAATACTAATCGTGAAAAAGACAAATGATATCCATGCTTTGATGCAGAATATATTGATAAATATATATTAAGTATTATAGATATGATAGATATATATGTTAAAATATTGTGGCTTGTGGAAAAGATGTGAAGGATGATGATTGAATATGTTTGCATTTCGGTTTGTAGAATTCAATAAATCATAGATGAGGTTGTATGCTTGAATGAGGTTTGATGTGTAATTATTGCTAGTGGATAATGATATGGTATGGTTACATATTAAGTTTTAGACTTAGTGGGTTGTAATTTTATATATGGTATACATATTAAGTTTTAGACTTAGTGGGTTGTAATTTTATATATGGTATAGATTATATGACTAATGTACTACTGACATGTTAAGAACATCAAAAATTGATAATGTGTATAGTACTGCTGCAAATTAGTACACAAGTTATATGTGCATAGTAGTACTGACATGATAAGAGGTGCATCGTAATACTTAATTAGTGTGTTCAATAATTATTTGTCGATTTTCTTAAATAACCATTATTTGTTGACTAAATATGTCTTTCACCATCTTTGTGCCTTTGGAGGTTCATGGCTTGCACCAATTTGATTGATATCATTTTTTTATTTATATGGGCTTTAATCCCGTGACTATGTAACCCTTTTTAATTGGTAAATAGAGAATCGATCATTGTACAATGCTTAGCAAGTGATCGGTTACCCCGTAGCAACGAGCGAGGGTATGTGATGAGGATGTTACTAGCTCGGGTATGGTTATAACCATACTTATATTACACATCAACAATCTAAAAGTGCATATATTTTATATAAGGTTTACTTATTATATGTTTGAACAAATGTTACTATATCATGAGTTTTATATCTTCTCATATGCAGTAGGAATTGAACCCTGTATACGAAAATATAATCAAATATTATCAAGGAAAGTTTTCTCCATAGACTTAATGTGACACCCAAAAGTTTCCACTATAAAATAATATGGCATTGCATAAATATAGAGCAAATAAGGTAACAAATATTTATTAAAATATGAAGAAATCTAACCTAGCTTCTCAAATCAACGAAAAGATATAGCTCAATATTTTTCTAATAAAACAGTAAAATTATATTTCTAATTTTTTATCAATTAATAATAATAGAACTAATTATACACTTTACTTTTCTGGAGACTTACAATAAGCAAAACTACATTCATATATAACTATAACCAGTATGGAATGGCTTTAAAAAGACAAAAAAAAGTCATTAGGCAAAAGAAAAACAGTTCTAGAGCATTGGGCTAGAAAAAAAAAATCCCATTCAACTGATCACCTCAAATATATAATTATGTACATCTAGAATAGATAAGGCTAAAGATTTTATCCTATATATGATAAATATATATATTTTTTCCAATTCCCATAAGAAAATCCGAGTTCGTTTCAGGAATGCTTCTGTCCGATTCCTATTTCGACAGACAGTGATCTAACCGTATTCGTTTCCATTTTTGATTCGAAGAAAAAAAATGGGAATATGTTTGTTTGAAAAAATTTATGCCCGACACTTTTCATTTTCAAAAGCAGGTGAAATTTTCCAAACAGTTTTCATCACTACCCCTAACCCTCAAAATCGTAGTCTTGGTGCCACCAGCCCACCACGCGACGCGATGGCCGTTGTCTTGACTTGCTCGCGCTCGCTCTCCGGCCTCGACCCTCCTGGCCTGGCCTCCCCTCGTCAAGGTCACTTGCTCGTCGCCAGCAAGAGGTACAATGCAGGAGGTGGGGGCTTCATGCCGTTGGATGGATCCCGCGATTGGTGCGGTGTTTTCGACGGTACTGTATGTTACCAATCATATACGGGGTAAAGAAAATACTACTTTTTACATTGCGTGGTCCCCGCCTTCCACCTTCTTTTACAGAAAATACTGTACTACTTTTGTGGCTGGTGTGTTCCAGGACATGCCGTCCCTGGTGTTCCCCCTTTCTCCCCCGCGCCCCTCCGCCCCCACCCCCCGCTTAGCCTCGCCGACACGGCGGCGATGGCGTCCACGCCGCAGACTAACCGGAAGCTGGCTGTTCTACACCATGCCATCGGCGATGGATGCACAGCGGCAGATGAGGTTGGTGTGTCGAGCAACAAGCCCGCTCAAGAAGAGCTTGCGAGCTCAATGTCCTATACATATCTCATCCTGAGTTGCGGCTCGTCGTCCGGATCTCCCATGGTCGGATTCGCGTAAGCGTCCTCTGCCCCGTGCTCTTTGGATGATTGCCCTTATCAGCTAGCTGTGTCTCTTTTTTTTTTCTTTGTCCAGTCTTGGTGGTGAGCCGATAGGCGATAGCCCTGTTTTTTCTTTGTTCAGTGGAGATTGCCCGTATAGCTACTTGATGGAGATTGTGGAACAGCAAGCAGCGAATGTGGGGGGCGTCGTGCAGAGTGATCTTACTGGCGTGTGCGAACAACAAAAACATACCTATTCTGACCAGGAGAATTGCTATGCAGAGAATGCGAGTGAGCCGCCTGAGTCCAGCAATCCTTCGTGGTGAGTTTGTTGTTTGTCATCATTTTGCGAAACAGAAAATGGTATTGCGAGTTCGCGTTCTGCGTTTCGTAAAACTCTTTTTTTTTTTGCCAAAACAAAATAGTGATGCATATTATGACTATGTTGTCTCTTCAGATTGGGTTGTTTCTTCGGATCAGGCTGTAGATGATGATATACTGTCCTTTGGATCAAGCTGACGGAAGGTTTGTTTTTTTGAATCCGTCTCTGCATTTTGAAGTTTTTTTCCGGAACACCACTTGTGGAATGGTAAAAAAAAAAGAGCATCTTTTTTGCCTGCAGTGCTTATTGGTTGCCAACATTGAAAGAGAGCACTCCTGGCGCCGCAATGCTAATTGATGAGATGGAGCTGAGGCAAGCTGATGAGCAGCATCCAGGCGTTCACGCCCCGCAAAGTCCAGCAGCCGTGTCCGGTGTCACCCGACGAGCTCCGGACTGACCGCGGCCTGCTCGAGCGCTGCGACAATCTGCTCGGCAGCATCCTTCCCCTGCCCAAACACTACGATTTTCATTCGTACTGTGAGCGGACGCCGGCGAGCCGAGACGAAGGAACAACACGAGCTTCTTGGAGGTCCTTCTCCATCCGTTCATTGGCAGACGCTGAGACGAGGCAGGAGCACGCATTCTTCGTCGCCGCCACGCAAGAACTCCAGGGCTTTTAAAGTTTCAATTTTTTTTAGCAATAATGGTGAACGAATTTGTCCATGGTTGCTTGTTTTTCCCATACATTTTGTTGGACGAAAGAAAGAAACCTACAGCACATTTGTTTTTGCACATTCTGATTACTGAGATGTTGTTTAAAAATTATTGATTATAATTAAGACCAAGCGAGCCAATTTTTGGGATGACCAAAATTGATTCGAACTTAAATAAAATCTTTTTTTTATCTGAGCTTATTTGTTATTGGGACATCTAGGAGCACACCTATATGTGTATTGCTCTCTGGGCTTGGTACAGTACCTGCTTCCTCTGCTGGCAAAGGAAGATAGCAAGATGAAGTTGAGAGAGTGAGACTTCAAACCAAAAGACCTCGCTTCTTTTTTGGATGTAACTTCATTTTTAAATTTTATGATGTTTTTTTTTCTCTCTCGAATACTTTTAAATTGACGTGTGACGAAGGTGTTGGTCCAAGGTAATTAGGTCTCCGTGCATTTTTTTCCATGTCTTTTTTGCTCCTGGTTAGCCAAGCGTGGTGTCATGTTAGCTGCAAATTGTAAAAAATGTAACCGTCGGAGTAGGAGTCGAGGGAGACCGGACTCCGTTGTGCTTGTTGGAGGGGATGATGGCGCCATTGGAGGGGATGACAGGTGTGTACTGCGCGCGCATGGCCAGCACACAGCGCAGTGAGAGCGCCAACTTTATGCTGAAGAGCATAATGCCTAGAAACTCCACCTTGAACCGTTTCATCGAGCAGTTTGCAAAGCTCCAGTTTGATAGAGAGAGTGATGATGCCAACGCTGAGAAGGCTAACAAACAGGTATTGTGTTTAAATCTAAAAAAACCTTCCTTCTCGATTTTGTAAAAATTTTGAGCCCACAATAGTTAACCTGACAAAAGAAATATTGCATCGTGTTGCAGAAGAGGTTGTGGTTGAAGCCAACGTTCCCTGTAGACGGAGAACTAGGGGAATCCACCCAGTACGTTGTCACCGGTCATGTGGATGGAGTTGGTGCTTTGAGGGTAAGGCCGTGTTTAGTTCACCCCTAACTACCCCAAACTTCTAAATTTTTATCACACTATATCACATCACACATAAACTTCCAACTTTTTTTTCCAAATCTTTCAATTTTTCCTAAACTTTCAACTTTTTTTTTAGGATCTAAACACACTAAGGTACTTCGATGCAGCCCGCAGGAAGTCATGGTGCAGAGTTGAATTTGAGGTACATGTTGATATGTGGAGCAGAAGTTTTTTTTTTTTATTTTCAACCAATGTAATTTATGAATAAAAATGAACCACACAAATCTATAAGGCATGTGGCGCCCATTTTCTTCCAATGCTGATGTACATTGCGTACAAACCCAGCTGATACCGTAGACGGGTGTCTCCCCATGCTTCGGCCGCCCCGCAAGCGTGTCAGCATCCATCTTAGCTTCTGGTCAAACATTGCTAATTTTGGCTCGACGTTTTGTGGAATGCTCAGCTCCCCCTCGAACGCGGCATTGTCCAGGTAAAGGATCTAAAGAAAAAAATAAAACACGGTGGATGAGTGATGAATAACGGTGCTTGTTTGTGTTAGCGATTCATGACGGCGCCACGCTGAACTTACCTGCAAAAGCAGTGAGCATCCCGCCTTGTTCGCCACCTTATCTTTATGCTTGATGTCGTGCTGTGCCTTCGGTGCAACGTCAATAAGGTGGTCGATGACGTATTTCGCCCAATTGTAGTTCTTGATTTCTTCCACATTAAGGAGTGCCCCCCAGAAGTCGTTCGATCCAGATTTGTGCGACATCTTCGGTGCAAGAAACATGCCGACAATCCACACAACAAATGTGGTCCTAAAATGGTCCTGAGCCCAATTGTTCATGGCGCTGGGAAATATCCTCTTAATTACTTCCTCAGCACCCTTCAGTGCGTTGGACTCGAAGCCAGGAGCACTGATATAATATTGCACAAAAGAGTCTTTCTCCTTTTTTGTGTTGTGCGGCATTGGACACACCTCCATGCCCTCAAATGGAATGCCAAGCACTCTGTTAACATTCCTAGGACTGATTTTCAACTCCAAGTGTTTCGATGAACTCCTGCTGGTTGCCCCTCGAGCTTCCCAGCCGGCTGTGTTCTGCACCGGCAGGTCCGTGGGTCCCCTGCGATGGCAGGATCCCCTTACATTGAATCTGACTCGAGAGCGTGTCCAGTGCCTGGAGCCCATGATACAGTTTTAGCCCTCCGATCCATCAGTCATATGCTGTGGATAGGCAAAAAGAAAAAAAATAGTATGAATTAAACACACAGCTACACAAATGCTTATGGATTCACAGGAAAAAAATTGCTAACGTGATGGAAAAAGAAACAAAAATTAACAACAAAGCTACGCACTGCTTGTGCATTTTCACGGAAAAAATACAAATGCTAATGTGATGAAAAAAGAAATGAACACATCCATGCATGTGCTGGTACTGTGCGTCGCGGTATCTGAATGGACTAATGTGGCATCAGGGGATGGGGGTGGAGGGGAAATTCCTGAGTGGTCTTTTACGGTGCTTGGAAGGTACCCTAGGTACCTCTTTAACGAACTGTTATCCACCGTTAATCTTCAAAGGGTAATTTAGGAACAAAAATTTTTATTAACAAGGGTAGCTTAGTAATTACTTAATTCTCACCCCGTCGAGTGCCTAACCAATCGGCCATCCACGATGTCATGCAGGTGGCGAGCGGCTCACCTCAATCGATCTTCAGAATATGTACGTAGTGATCAAATAGCCAAATTAGGCGCAGAAACTAGCAGGGGATTGGATGCGCAGCGCAGGGCATTGTTGATTTGTTTTTGCTGGCAAAATCGATCCTCAGAACCTGGAATACAACTACTGGATGCATGAAGGCCTGACGACAAAGAACGAGCAAGGAACTAGCAGAGCAGACAGCAGCCCGGGGATTCGTGCGGCGGTGGTGATGGCGACCTGCTGCTGCGTACCTCAGCTGCGACCGGCGGGCGCTACGGGCGCGTGTGACGGCGGCGGTGACGGTATCCGGCTGCTGCTTTCGTACGCTAGGACCGGAGGGCGTGTACAGCGGCGGCGAGCGGCAGGCTTTTACGGCAGCGACGACGACCAACAGGTAGTTCATGTAGGTTCCTCTCGCACGCGTTCTTATTCTTCCTCTCTTTTTTTTCTTCCTCCTGCTGAAATGTTTGTAGCTTCTCTCGCTTTTGCCCTTCACCGAAAAATAATTTAATGAAAATCAATTACCATTTTACCCTTTCACCTTACATACCTAGCCCATACTTTTAAAACCTTTCTCCAGGTACTTTCTCTCTCTATCCGTTAGATCATTGCTGATCAAGGGTCCTAATTAATTCTAAGCATTGAAGAAGATCTTACCTGATGGACTCCCTTGGACATTCGTCGGCCGGATACTCGACGAGACCGGACGGTGCGCCGATTCCGCCGACGGAAGATGCAATGGAGATGCGGGGCGGCAGCCACTACAGCTTCCAGGAGGATGCGAGTAGTGCGTGGGGCCGGTGGGGCGGGGGACGGCGCCGGTGGGCGGCTGGCGACCGGCGGCGGTGGGTGTGGGTTCGGTCATGGTGGCTCTCAGACGATGGAGAGAGATGAAAACTGGAAAGGGATAGAATGTATCGAACGGATATGTGGCGGAGGATACATGGGGTCGTACTCCGTACACACGAGCTGGTCCCGCGTACTACCCTTCCACAGGGAGTCTGGGAATCTTACGGTGGGTCAGGCTGTATTTGAGCGAGCAATAAAAAAAAACAAATACCATGCTAGCCCATACATATACTATCTGATACTGTAAAAGTGTGCACGAATCTTCAAGCCATCGTGTGGTTGTCAGCCTAGGTGCCGCAGCACCTAGGTGCTAAAAGGACTTTCCGGTACAATGCAATGCTGCCCTGGTCGTATATCTATTGGGCTTGGGCTTCTCTGTTTCTGCCCTTTTTTTTGACAAATTGACCCTATTGGAAAACTTATTTCGAAACTAACCCCTGCCAAAAACTTCAACCAAAAATAGGCCGTCGCCTCAGCGCCAAACACATTGGCGCTGAGATTGGCAGTGTCAGCGCCAACGGGACTGGCGCTGACATTGTGCCACTGTGGCGGCCGGGCCGATCCCCCAGCTGACGTGGCAGCTACTTCAGCGCCAACCTGCCTGACGCTGAGGTGGGACTTGGCCACAACGACCAAGGTCCAGACCAGCAAGCCTTCTGGATGGCTTGCGGGCTGGGACCTCAGCGCCAGCCATAATGGCGCTGACCGTGGGAAGCTCAGTGCCAACCGGCCTGGCGCTGAGGTGGGACTTGGCCGTTTCGGCCATGGCCCAGCCCAGCAAGCCTTCTGGATGGCTGGGCTGGGAACTCAGAGCCAGGTGCACTGGCGCTGAGGTTGGACATGTCAGCGCCATTTATCCTGGCATTGAGGTCCCAGCCTTGCTAAACTTTAGCAAAACTTTGCACACAACACAGGCAAACATCAAATCACATAAATTCACAGGCAGTAATATATCCAGAGAACCATACAGAACATACATCCATCCATCAATCCCAACATCATTCCATACATCCATAGAACCATGCATCAAGTCCATCCATCTATCGAACCATGCATCAAGTCCATCCATCTATCCATCCAACCATCCATCTATCCATCCATCCATTGAACCATGCACTCACCTCCTCCTACCTCTAGTGCGAGGACGAGGCACGTCGGGGGTGTACCTCCAGTCCTGCGAAGGAGCCCACCGGCGTCGTGGTTGAGACGGGCCGGGCTGCGAGAGATCCGGCTGTGACGACTCTGGTGCGTCCTCTAGCTGCGAGGGACCGAGCTCATCCGCCTCCTCTTCTTCGTCCCCCTCCTCTTCTTCCTCCTCATCCCCTTCTTCCTCCTGATCTCCTTCCTCCGCCTCTTTGTCTTGCTCGCCCTCCTCGTCACCCACCTCCCCTTCTTCATCCCCCTCTTGGTGGGCATGAGCATGTTCAACCACATCAGTCGACCTGCAGCCGAGCCTTGCTGCCAACTTCCGACATCGCTGCCGTAGTCTCTGCATAAAAAATAATCCATGTTAAGTTATCGCTTTTGGAAGAAAACACCGTAATTTCATCTCTTTCCAACGATTACCTGTAGGGCGTTGCGGAGGGTGCCGCCCTCTCCTTCGGAGCCAGGAGCCGTGCCTAGCGCCACTCCCGCATCGTTGACGGTCCGCAAGAGCTCTCGAGCCTGTAGGATTGAAATGAAGTAAGTCACAACATATATGGCATTGAAATGAAATAATATACAATATTAATGCTAGAAACTAACCACTCTGTCGCGAACAGGTCCCGTCTCGACCGTGGTACCTAGACGGGTACGAGTATCGTACTCGTTCTGCTCCTCAACATCCTCGGGGTCATCCGCTATGTCGGCTAGTGTCCAGGCCGGACGTAGGACAAGACGGTAGGGCCTGTGGAGCCACGCCAAGTACAAGTCGAACTCCGTCCCGTTGTGCTGACCCTGGTCTGGTACTCCATTCTCCTCGAACTTCTCCCATTGCGTGATATGATCCTGATGGTAGTAAGCCCAATCAGTCACCTTCTTGTTCTTCCGACGGTCAACCCTGCACGTATGCAAAATGTCCAACTCAAATATGTAGTAAATGTTGAAGTGACTGATTGGGCAAGCAAAATAAATTGTTAAGTGAAATTACTAACTTGTGTAGGTCGATACTCGTGGAGAAACGGTGCGGGATTGTTTGAAGCCTCCCGAATTGCTGCATCACGCGGTGGCACATCTGGAACTCCACTGCATAGAAGCAGATCAGTGGGCACCGTAGGGTCTTCAACGCATCCTCTATATGGCACATGGGATTCAGTTCTAGCTCGAGCGCTTCCTGTGCCTGATATGGCATCCACACCACCTGCAGCAACAAAAATAAAACCCATTGAAGCACATTTAGTACTATATAGTAAGAAACCATCTTCATGTGTGATAGAACCCCGAATAGCTTACATGTTCTGGCTGTAGGTAGTCCATCTCTTTTGTGTAGTGGTAGTACGCCAAATTCCTGCGGCCTACTACTGGAGATGGGACCGATTCCCACAGGTGAGCTACAGAGGGACGTCGGTCTGCATCCTGGTGCGGCCAAGCCTGATGGGTCCTCCACATGGGCCGACCAACTGGAAGCCTCATCCACATCCAAACCTGCGTCACATACGTTAGCTTCCAACATGTTAGCAAGAAATTGAAATGTTACGAAACATAACATGCGTGAACTTACCTGTAGCAACCAAACACAGCATGCTAGGTTCACGTCCCCGCCTTGCCTTCGGCAAGCATCACAGAGTTGCCGTTACAACCAGGCTAGGGCAGCCGACCCCCAGCTGAAGGTACCCGCCTCGTCCCAGTCCGCGAGCAACGGCAGCCACATCCAAGAAGCCATGTCTCCACCAGAGTCAGGGAACAGAATACTGCCGAAGATGTATAGCACATACGCCCTGCAGTATCGCTGTACTGTAGCCTCGTCTGCCTCAGCGGGACACTGACCGAAGTTGGCTCGCAACCAACTCAAAGGAACCCCTGATGTCTTCGTCTGCCTCTGACCATCAGGTGCCACTGGAGGCTCCAGACCAAGGTACTCCTCGACCCTCTCCCTCCAGTTCCCCGACGCTGTGTCACCTGTGACCGGAAATTAAATGGAATCATTAGTAATTGCAAAAAAATTAACAAATGAATAGGAAGACTCATTAGTAATTCCCCGATGCTGTGTCACCTGTGACCGCCTGACCCCGGATAGGAAGACCCAGGATCATGGCGACGTCCTCCAGAGTGACCGTCAGCTCCCCGCACGGTAGGTGGAAGGTGTGTGTCTCTGGACGCCACCGGTCCACTAGGGCCGTCAGAGCAGCGGCGTTGTACAGAGGCACCGGTCGCTGTGCCATGGTCACGAACGCCAAGAGCTTCGCCCGCTGTAGGTACGGGACGTACCAGTCGTCGAATAGTATGTGCGCCGTGTGACCTCTTACTCGAAGGGTCTTCAAGCGCTGCATCAATAGACAAACATAATAACATAAAGTTAGCGACAATATATCATATACAAGGGTTGTGGAAAATACATCATGCAACTAGGAACTTTAATTTTGGGATTGAGCAAGAAAACTGAAAAGAAGATCTGTGTGTTTACATGTTCTGCTTTGAGGCTCTTGAATCATGATCTCTCTCTCTATGTACAGTGTAAAAAAACAACAATATTTCATAACTGGTTAATTCGGAGTATTCATTTTTCTTTCTTTCAAAAAATTATCCCCTTCAGTCATAGTTGTTTGATGTTTATGACAGAATTCGATTAAACTTTTAAAATTATGGAAAAAACTTATCTTAAACATCAAATATTTATAGTTGTAGTATTATTCTGCATATGCACAAATGAACAGGGCAAAGCTAGCAAATATTAACAGGATAGCATATGCATATGCAACAGCAACAGGGCATTGGGCCAACTTCAAATATTTTGTGTGTGTTTTATTTGAGATATCTCTATGATGGATGATCTATCTGTACAAACTAAAATCATAGAAGAAAAAATAAATTCGATCATAAAAAAATTCCATATTGTTGATGCTAACCTCTCCGCTGGCAATCTGTGGGGCCCGGTGCTTCTCCTCGTAGAAATCCTCCAACCCCGGAAAGTGCTCCATCCTGCAAATGAAAATGGAATCATTAGTAATTGAAAAAATATTAAATGGAAAAATCACAATGAGAACGGAAAGGAGGACAACAGAAAGTAAACATTGAAGCAACAATATGAACTTAACAAATGAATGACATCCAATCCCACCTGTGTGCTACCCTCACCACCTCCCCCCGTCCTACGGCGCTTTTTCGGTCGATCCTTAGACATGTCTCGCTTCGGGCACCTAGTTTTCTTATGGCCTAGTTCGTGGCATAGCGAGTATCTATTTTGCATGACCGGCTCTGAATTTGTATTGTTCGGCTTTTGTGACCGTCGGTTGGCTGAGCCTTTGTATGCTTTGTCCATGTCGTTCTTGAACCTTCTTGTCCTTCTTCTTCCTCGTGTGTTGTTCTTTAACGACAAGTCGGGCACGAAGAACTCTCCATCATAACTTGGCCACTGCGATGGATCTAGGTAAGGTTCAAACCTAGGGGAGTACGAGTCCTGCACAGCCTTATTGGAAGCTTCATAACACATTCGGGGGGCCACCTCCACATCCAAACCTCGCAACTTACAAACGGTTATCATGTGGGGGCATGGCAAGTGATGGAGCTGAGGGAACTGACAACTACATGTGTTATCTCGAGCAACCACGACGTAGTGACGTCCACCCCATTGAACCCCAGCCGCCGTGACTCCGCCTTGCTCGCTGACCTCATACTTCATCGAAGGGAAATCAAAACATGCTGCTCTTTGCCCCAAGGTTCGTCTTTGTTGCTCCTCCAACATGTCCTTAACTTTTGTGGGCCACTTCTTTCCACTCAGGATATCTACAGTTGCCTCTTTGTGTCTATCGACAAACCAACTATTGCACTTCGAAAATGTGTATGCCACAATAGCTGTAACCGGCAGTTTCCGAATGCCTCTCAATACATTATTGAAACTCTCGGCCATATTACTAGTCATGATGCTATGGCGACGCCCGTTGGTATCAAATGCTCTTGCCCATTTGACCTTAAGTGGCATGTGGTCTTCTAGCCACTTCTTTGGCCTCTCTCCGACCACACCCATGAGGCGTTTTATCTCATCTAGGAAAAATGCTTTCTCATTTATTTGACATATGCGCTCAAGATCTTTCATCTGATCAGTCGTAGCTCCAGCTGTGTAGAAGTTAGCACAGAAGTGCCTCATGCACCACCTGTGGTGAATGGTTAGGTGATGAGGCATGATGTGGATGATGGAGTTCAAAATGCCAGGGTGTCTATCAGAAATTATACACACTTCTCTATTAGGACCGATCAGCTTGTTTCTCAACATGTTGATGAACCACTCCCAGTTGGATGTATTCTCCTTCTCTACCAGAGCAAACGCCAAGGGAACAAGATGTAACCCGGCGTCGACCCCTATTGCCGTGAGCAATGTACCTTGGTATTTACCGGTTAAGAAAGTGCCATCAATTGCTAGCACCGGCCTCAAGTGCTTGAATGCTTCTATGGACTGGCCAAATATCCAATATGCACGTCCAAATACTCGTCTCTGTACTCCATCCACCATCCTGGACTTCTCGGGGTGAGCCTCAACACGGAAATGCATGGTAGGGTTCTTTGCTTTGATGGCACGCATCAGTGTAGGCAAGCGAACATACGCCTCGTCCCAATCTCCCCAAATGACCTTCATAGCATCTTGCTTAGCACGCCATGCTTTGCCATACGTAGGCCGATAGTGCTATATTTGCTCAACTGCCTCGACAATCGCTGCTGGAGATAAAGTAGGTTCAGCTCGCACAAATGCATGTAACCTATTTCCAATAAACCTTGAAGTAAGTTGCAAATGCTTGCCGGTTACTTCCGCACTACAGCATGTGTGGTCTTCGCCCACCCTAGTCACCCGCCACCTATCTCCTCCACTCTTCCTTGCATTAATCTGCCATTTGCAATGGCGATCGAGACAAGCCACAGTATACTTTACTGACGCGTTAGATTCCTTCACATGGTACGGCCGGTGGACACGGATAGAATAACTCTGTAGCCATATTTTCAGATCATCCATCGATCGAAACTCCAACCCCTTCCTTGGTTCATCACACATTGGTTCGAAGGCACCGTCATATTGTGGATCCCCATCAGCAATTGCTAGCCCGGATCTGGTAAGATTCTCGAATTGTGTTATTTCCGGGTTTCTACCCACCAGTTTCGCAAACACAGTCCTTTCATGCTCTGACATCTTACGCACTAGACGATCATCATCGGAGTCGGAAGCGGATTCATCCAATTCATCCTCTGTATCATACTCCAACCAGCCTGGGTTCAATCCACTGCGTATCATAGCCTCCTCACACTCCTCTCGGGTATAGAATTTCAGCCTAGCCAACTCCCTTAGGCCCATACTTACATTCTTAGCATTCGCTTCTTCCTCAGGCAACTCCACATCATCTCCTACCTCCCGACCATCCTCAACATCTCCTTCCTCTCTTACCAGCACATTCTCCTCCACATTAACTTTCTCCCTTAACGGCACATTATCCTCTGCATGTACTTCCTCCCTTAACGGCACATTCTCCTCTGCATGTACTTCCTCCCTTACCGGGTCATTCTCCTCCCTGACCTCCACATCCGCCATATCATTTACTCCCTCGCCCCCCTCCACGTCTTCCTCAATCAATTTTTCCTTCCTACTACACCTCTCCGACAGTTCGTGACAGTTAATGGGTGATTCTATGAGTAGACTTTCATTAAGGTCTATAAGTTCTTTCTTCCCTATCCTACCATCTTTCTTCCATGCAAACACCTCAAGAGATTTGAAATGTGACCCCAATACTATATCTATATATGTTTGCCATTCGATCTCTCCATTCAAGTCTAACATAAACTTATGTGACATGACACCGCCGCCCACATCGTATCTCCCTTGCATACCAACCGACTCGTCACTCCAATCCAATTCATGCTTGATGCGAGACATTAACTCCTCAAAGGTAGGTTTCACAGAAAACACTAATTGTCTAACTGTCATTCCCTCAAATTGGCTTCCATGTGTACTTTCATCTACCACACAACCACCATAATGAAGCCGGACCAATCTATCCATCTACAATTTTTAACCCATGCATAAAAATTACTTACTTGAAAATAATATGTAATTACCATTGCAATACCAATACTTCAAAAGCTAACAACATGTCTAATTTTTCCAATAAATAAGTACCTTACTCAAATACTACACATTATTGATAAAAAAAACTCTACTCCTACAAATTACCTACCCTTCACCACACATCAACCCCTTTCAAACCCTCTCAATCACCACAAATACATCCCACATCCTAGGCCATCACCACACATCCATCTCCCATCAAACCCTAGTGCATCACCAAACATTCATCCCAAATATATTTTGTCAAATGTATCAACAACAACCAAATGGATAAAGATATGCCACCTCCACACTTCATCCCCACCCACATTATCCATCTAATAATCCATCCTTAGCCAACTATTATCAAACCACGTCTACAACCAAAACAATACAAAATATCCAATAAAACTTTGGGGAACTTAGGGTTTATAGAGGGGTTTACCTTCTCTTCCGATCCCAAACTCAATGCCACACAAATCACCTTCGATTAGAGAGGTTTTTGGGGGAGATTGGGCGAGGAGAACGCGGTGGCGACCGAACCCTAGGCGGGCGGCTGGGGAAAAACAGAGGACTAACTGGCTGGGGCGGCCTCGGCCGGGCTCAAAGTAGCCAAGATCAGCGCCAACGTACTTGGCGCTGATGTTGGGCACCTCAGCGCCGAAGCGGTTGGCGCTGAGGTAGCTGCCACGTCAGCTGGGGGATCGGCCCGGCCGCCACGGTGGCACAATGTCAGCGCCAGTCCCGTTGGCGCTGACACGGCCAACCTCAGCGCCAATGCGCTTGGCGCTGAGCCGACGGCCTAGTTTTAGTTGAAGTTTTTAGCAGGGGTTAGTTTCGAAATAAGTTTTTGAAAAGGGTCAATTTGTCAAAAAAACGGCTGTTTCTGCCCAAAAGCTACCAATTCGATCGTATGCAGAAAAGTTTGTCGTCAGTTCAATTCCCTGGATTCCGATGTTAAATTCAGAAGCAAACTATAGGCTATAGGTAGAAAGATACAAGATGCACTGCTGCAGACTATGTATGATCCATCTTACAGATGAGATGAGATATGCGTGCGTATATATGGTATGTCTATGATGATGATGGATGAACAATTAATGGTGGAGGAAGAAGAAGGAGATGATAGTGGTAGTGGCTAGGGATGAGAAGAAGAATGCGGTGGCGAGGGCTTCTTGGACTTGTAGCGGGCGGCGAGCAGCAGGTAGAGGGCGAGGTTGGCGAGGCTGATGAGGGCCCAGAGCCAGAAGTAGTAGTCGAGGTGGGCCGTGTCCAGGTCCGGCGCCAGCCAGCCGCCGGAGCCGTCGCTCCTCTTGGTGACCGCCGCCACGATGGTGACGACGAGCGAGTTGACGTAGAAGCCGAGGGAGAGGGCGAGGAAGGAGAAAGCGGAGCAGATGCTGCGCATGGACCCGGGCGCCTCGCCGTAGAAGAACTCCAGCTGCGCGATGCCGCTGAACACGTCGGATCCAGCCAGCACCACGAACTGTGGCACCTGCCACAAGATGCTCATCGACCGCTTCTCCCCTCGCAGCCTCCGCCTCTCCACCAGAGCAGCCGTCGCCATGGCCACCACCACCAGCACACGCCCCACGCCCATCCGCTGCAGCTGCGTCAGACCACCCGAGCGCCACCACCTCCTCGCCACCGGCATCACCACCACGTCGTGGAGCAGCACCCACAGCAGCATGAACACCACCTCCACCGACACCAGCGACGCCACCGGCACCCGGAACCTCCCCCCGAACACCCTCGTGTCCATGGCCATCCCCTGCTGGATGAAGGTGGTGGTCATCTGCCCCAGCGACGCCGCGTACAGCACGCACGTCACCCAGATGGGCACTATCCGCGCCAGCACCTTCACGCGCTCCACCTCGCTCACCGTGCACACCTCCCACACGCCGCCCCCGTCCACCCTCACGGCGGCCTTGTCCAGCCACCGTAACCCCTCGGTGTGCGCCAGCTTCTCATCATCGCCGCCGTTCTTGTTCTTGTCGTCGTCGACTTCGTACAGGCCATCGCCGTCGGCGTCGGGAGGCAGCGTCCGGGTCCTGTTCCTGAAGGCGGCCACCAGCACCCTGAGGATGGCCTTGATGGGGGTGTCCCCCGTGGGGAGGCGCACCCTGTAGCAGGGCGTGGCTGCCAGGAACGCCGCCGACGCGATGAGCAGGCAGAGCGTGGCGATGCCGAAGCCCAGCGCCCACGACACGTTCTGCTCCACCCACGATACAAGCGTCCCGGCCACGAAGATGCCGAGGTTGATGGCGCCGAAGAACCAGCTGAAGAAGGATTGCTTCGTCTTCTCCGGGGCCGGGGCGCCCTCCTGATCAGTGTCGTGGTCGTCGCGCTCGTACTGCTCTGCCCCGAAGGGGAGCAGCGCAGACTTGACGCCGCCTGTTCCGATGGAGGTGAGGTAGAGCGCGAGGAAGAAGACGGAGAACTGGGTCCCGGTGGCCGGTGAGCATGGGACGCCGGTGCACGGCGCCGGGCGCAGGGAGGGGACAGCGGCGGAGACGGTGAGGAGCACAAGGCCCTGCACAAGGCCCGCCCTGGTACGTTATCCATCTCCATGCTGCATGTATGGATCGGATCGAGTATGAAAGAGCGAATGACTTACGGCGAGGTAGAAGAGGAGGGAGGCGAGGATGGTCCTGTACTTTCCCCAGTAGGAGTCGGCGAGGAAAGCCCCGATGACGGGGACGATGAAGGTGGTGCCATTCCAGGTGTCGACATGGGCGGCGTTGAAGGCGAGGGTGCCGTGAAGGACGGTGGCCAGGTACACCACCAGGTTCAGCGCCACGCCGGAGAAGGCGATGCTCTCCAGCAGCTCGAACCCCAGGATGGTGGCCGGCCCAAGCTTCCACTTCCACCTCTTCTTCTTCTCATCCCTGCCCCTGCTACGACTTGGTGGACTACCCATCATATTATTCATGCTCATGCCGCCCGCCCCGGATCTATCCCCTACCACCACCTTTCTAGCTAGTATCTCATTTCACGATACGAGGCAGCGAGGTCGTAGGCTCGTAGCTACCAATATATGGATTCTGTACTAATCCTCAGCTGCTCCTGCTCGATCGTATATCATCATCAACAACAACTGTCCGGTTTAATTAGTTTGATTCGATACCATCATCTTCTTCATCATCATCATACATATCGATATATATATATACACTCGACTCCAGACTCCAGTACTAGTATATATGCGCGCGCGCGATGACAAAGTCAAAGCACCGCGCTGGCTAGCTGGAGAAAACTGTCTATCGTCTTAATCTGGCAGGACATGAACCTGATTGAGAATGGAAAGCCGATATCTAACTCAACTAATTACAAAAATGCTAGCTCGTGAATGATAACAATAAATAGTAATTCTTTTAGCCCGCGCACCATTTTAAACCTATTAAGAGATTTAAAACATGGCGATGAGCTCCTTTTTACGCTAATTTATGTCACGTCGAACATGTTTTCAGTATCAACTAAAGTGGCGTTGAGAAATTTTAGCTGAACGCCATCGGGATTGACGGCGTTTGGAATTAGTTTTTGACATAGTTTATTTTTAAAAAACGGTCAATTTATCAAAATTACGGTAGTCATAACTAACCGATACGTGTATGTGAAGAATTAAGAGAAGCAGCCACAACCATCCATGTATCCAGCTTGCCAACCACCACCTCCGTTACATTTTTGGATAAAGATCACCTCCAGTACATGCGTATACATGTGCAACGATACAAGATAGCATAGCAAAGCAACTACTACTCCACACCCACACAGTGGTCAATTCATGGTGGTAGTTGAGCGATCCATCCATCTTGCCATCCCAGCTGCAGCTGCAGCTAACTTGGTTAATTTGCCTTTGCGTGGCTAGATTGCTTCCCTTCAATTCAAGCTATCTATCTATCTATGTATTGTATATAGCAGCAACCTAACAACCCAAAATGCATTTCGATCGAACCAATTTGGCAGCATGGCACTGGCATGCGGCTTAATTCAATTACCAGCAGCTGCTACCACCTGAAACTATGAACAACCCTTTCCCTTTCAGACTGAATAATCGCGTCCAACTCCCAGAGAAATTAAGCTGGCCTACAGCTGACTATATTTATCTACAATTAATCCTACTTGTAAAATAAATAATACTACGTCTACTGCTCTGTTTTAAGTCATGGGGTAAGACTTGTAGTTAAGATCGAATACCACTAGTATTAGTATACGAGGATAGTTAGTCAGGCACGTTGGATTCGGCCAGCAGCCAAGCATCAGGCCAATAGCAATATACTCCATAGTACTCCAGTAGTGTATACACACAGACGACGACCCAACCGCACTCAGTCAGTCAGTAGATTAATTGATTGATCGATCCATTTGATTAGATTAATGAGGGCAGCACCGTTCGCTAGGCTCGATCGATCGACTAAAACTAATCACAGGCAAGGCAAAGCACCCAACTTAATTTGTCGTTAGGACTTCTTTTCTCCAACGATCTATTCTGACTTCCTACTGGAGTAGGACTATACATCAAAAATAAATTTGCATTGGCCGCTTAATTACATTACTAGTGGTAGTTAATTATAATAATTAAATTGCTTCTCTGAAGTCTGGAACTAGAAACCTCAATATTATTCAGGGGAGAGACCATGTGAGCCACGTGAAGTGCAAACGTACTCTCTACTGTAATCACCTGCTTAGTTGCCTACCAAAATATCTCTTAGTCAACTGGAACTGCTGGAATTGAATGGATTAAAAAAAATTGCACGTCGCATGCACTAGTTGGGATTGAATCTCTACCTCTAAAATTGATAGAAGTTCATATGTCCGTGTCGAGCTTGCTTCCGTACGTGTGGACCGTGTGAAAATGGCATAACGGAGAACCCAAATTCATAGTGGCTATGTTCGGCAGCCATATAAGCTACAGCTACTGCATCATAAATTCGCTGTAAACTACAGCAATTCTTAACTACTTCCTCCGTTCGATTTTAATTTTTTATTTGTACTGTTTGATCACTTATCTTATTCAAAAAATTTGTGTAAATATAAAAAACGAAAAGTTATGCTTAAAGTATTTTGGATAATAAAGTAAGCCACAAATAAAATAAATAAAAATTTTAAATTTTTTTTGAATAAGACGAGTAGTCAAACAGTGCAAGCAAAAAGTTAAAATCCCTTATATTATACTTCCTCCGTTTCACAATGTAAGTCATTCTAGCATTTCCCACATTCATATTGACGCTAATGAGATTCATTAGCGTCAATATGAATGTGGGAAATGCTAGAATGACTTACATTGTGAAACGGAGGAAGTAGTACATAGGGAGTACTACTGCTGCAGCTGCAAAAATACCAGCCGAACACAAAAGTGTTTCTACCTAGAATTTTTGTAGATATGCTCTCACCTCCCTCCGCCCGTCGCCTCTTTCGCCATTGCAGCAGCCGGCGCGCGTGAATCCATGCAGCTAGCAACGGTGTGAGATCCCGTACGGCGCAGGGATGGCGATGGCACGAATCCAGCAAGGAGATGGCAGCCACGTTTGCGTATGGAGAACCCAACTGCTGGTTGAATCCTCGCATACTAATACTAGTGGTATTCATAAACTTCAAGTCTTATTACTACTCCATGACTTAAAACAGATCGAGATTCGAGCAGTACCCAAATCCATGGGGCTCAAATCTGATTTGAGGGAGTTGGGCATGGCAGCAACTAGTAGTTGGATTCTACCACATTCAATCCAACTATAGCCAAAGTTCAATCCATGCCCTTCTACCGCGAAACCAGATATAGAGGATCCCTTGTTCCGTGAAACCAGATATAGAGTGTCCCTCAATTATTAAAACTAGATCAATTTAGGTTCCTAGGCGGTTGTGATGGTGGTTTTGTCATGCGTGACGTCAATGTTGGCATTTCAATTAGAATAAATAAATAAATGAAATATGCAGACCTTACATATCATTGGCATCTTCTTCCTCTGCCCTCTCTCTCTCTCATATCCTCTTATTTCTCTCTCCATCGGTGGGGGATGGGCATGAGATAAAGCGTTCTCCGTCAACGGGAGCACCATGCCGGAGCATGCTCTCGATGACAGCCATGACGTTGACCAGGGCAAGGAACAACGAGCGTGCGGATAGCCTACTGGAGCCCATTGAGCTCACCATTTTGATCACCAATGCCGCCCAAGCCACACTGCCCGCCGGATCGGGAGGCATATTTGGTAATGCTGCACCCCTTCACCACCGGGTTGCACTCGTCCCATGCTCCTTCACCACCAGGAGTGCCTTGAGCAAGAAGGGGGTGGAGGAGGGTGTTGTGATTCAGTCAGCGGCGTATGCCGCACAAAGAAGGCTGCATGTTCACAGCCTAGGAGGACCTAGTGTCCCAGACCATCGAGCGAAGGAAGGCGACTATGGTCTTATACACCTCGATGGTTGTCGTTGTGCCGCCCACGACGAGAAGGCTACAAGAAGGCACCGGTGCTAGTGAGAGGTGGTAAAAAGGGCTCTTGCAAGTGGGGGACATTGTAACAACCGGCCCTCTAGAACCTCGTAGCGCAACACATCCGACGGGTGGGCACACTTACACATACCACCTCACTTATTCTTTCATCCTTGCTTCATGTAAAAGGGTTAACCCGAGAGTGATATGGTTGGAGTGTCATGCCTTTATAAATTGGTTTCACCCTTGCTAAACTAGTATTGTGGTACTAAACATACGCACACAACTCTCATGGGCTACATAGGTCACGTCCTAATTAGCGTATGACATGCCATGACATGTGCCTCACGCGCCATATGCCCACACATTGATTCATACGCACAATCACGAGGGTCGGCTACGCAGACAGTTCTCATGGGCCACATAGGCCACATCCTAATTGGCGTATGACATAACATGTGCCTCACACAGAGCCCACACGTGTCATGCGCCATGAGCCCGCACATTGATTCGTACGCGCAACCACGAGGGTCAGCTCTGATACCATTTGTAACAACCCACCCTCCAAAACCGCAGAGCCCAATGGGTCGGCCCACTTACATATATCATCCCACTTACACTTTCGTCCTCGCTTCGTGTAAAAGAGTTAACTCGGGAGTGATATGGTTGGAGGGTTAGGCTCTTATAAGTTAGTTCTACCCATGCTAAACTAGCACTGTGATACTAAACATGCGCATGCAGCTATCATGGGCCATACATGCCACATTCTAATTGGCCCGGGATGTCACAAACATCCACAATGATGTGCTAGAGCGTGTCCTGGACAGTCGCACACCGCACCAGGAGCTTGAGCTTGACTAGAGTACACCGTCGTGCAAACCTGCTTCTCCGCATGCCACCACCCTCGCTAATGTAGTGAGCCTGAACTCCGCCAATGATGATGTCAATGCTCGTAGATCCAACAAGGGCGCATGGGATGAGACGCGCGGAGGCACGTAGGGTGATGAGATAACTATCGTTGCCCGCGTGCATCCAAATCCCCATGTCGTTCCGCCACCGCTGACAGCGGCGGTCGAGCTTGGGCACAACCACCCTTCTCATTGCCTGTGGTAGCGCACGGGGACTTGGTAGTGTCCATTGGACTTCACCATCTTCTTGCTCCATGGGGGGGGGGTGCGTTGTCACCTTCATGTCCATCGCTGCGGCCGTGCAACTCCCCATCCTTCCTCCTCACTCCCGCCTTTCGATCTTGCTCGTCGATGGGCACGAGCAGGATCTCCGGCGGCGCGGGCGGCAGCGGCATCGTGTTCACCATCGCCAACTGTGGCTAGGGAGGGAGAGGAGGGAAGGGGAAGACCACATAGCTTGCGCCCGCCGTTCTTTGAGCTCGTTGCGCTCCATCACTGCCCACCTTTAGTAGTGAGAAAGCGGAAGTGGCGGTGGCCGATCGGTGAGGGAGCATGAGGAGGGAGGGGGAATGTTGGGAGAGAGAGGGGAAAGAAGGTGCCGCCCGCCAGGGGAGATAGAGAGGTGAGAGTGAAGTGGGGGAAGTAGGACCCACTGACAAGCATTTTGTTTATTTTTTTAATTTTGCTTATAATGACACTTCAACACCGCACGAGACAAGGGCTAAGTCAAAACAACTAACCATGTAGGTATCCACCAACCAATCCAAACCGTTTTTGGATCTTGTCTGCACTAGTTTTAGGATTTGAGAGACGTGTTATATCTGGTACTGTGG